CCCCCCATGTATACATACATACATACATACATACACACATACACTCAGGTTGAAATTTTCCTTGTGACAAAGAAAAAGAACTGAGCAAAAACATCTGCTACAATTACAGTGTGTATGGTATTTTGTCTTGCTAGTTCTCTGCCTTGAAGAAGATGTTTTATGGTCTCTTCTCCACAGGCTTCACTGGTTTTTCCTGATACTTATGAGTTAACTTCCTTTGAGTGAGTCTTTCATTTTTTTCATTGTCATGATTGTTCTTCTGGTTCTGCTTGTTTTGCTTTGCATCAAAGTTCATGCAAATCCTCCCATTTTCCCAAATTTCTTATGTTTTTGATTTCTTACCATGCAACAGTATCCCATTACATTCATACACTATGGTTTTTTCATTTCCCAACTGAAAGGAACCTACTTTGTTTCTATTCCTTACTTCTACCAAAGCGGAAGGTAACAAGCATTTAAGTGCCTACCATGTGCCAGTCACCATGATAAACACTTAAAATAGAATCTCTTTGATCCTCATAACCTCCCTGGGAGGTAGGTGCTCTTGTTTTCTCTGTTGTAGAGATCAGGAAACCTGAGAAGATAGTGGTTAAGTGATTTGCCCAGAGTCAAACAGCTAATAAGTTCCCAAGGCTGAATTTGAGCCCAGGTCTTCCTGACTTGTGGCCCAGTACTCTATTTACTATACCACCTAGCTGCCTCTTGCACAGAGTACTGCTGTGAATATCTTGGTATATATCAGACCTTTGTTTCTTTCTCTTTTTTTTCTTTCTTCAGACAGTTGGGTTAAGTGACTTGCCCAGGGTCACACAGCTAGTTAGTGTCAAGTGTTTGGTCTCAGGCCGATTTGAACTCACGTCCTCCTGACTTCAGGGCCAGTGCTTTATCCACTGCGCCACTTAGCTGCCCCTTAGACCTTTGTTTCTGTCTTTGGTTTCCTTGGAGTAAATATGTGTTCGTTAGTGATATTGTCACAAGGGTCTGAATCAATCACTTTCCTTGAATAATTACAAATGGAAATCTAGAACAGCAGCACCACTTCATAGCTCTACCAAAAAAGCATCCATGTACCTATATTCCTATATCCTTTCCAACACCTACTATACTGTTTCCATCTTTGGCTGTCTTTGTCAGTCAGTTAGTGTGTTGTGAGGTGAAACTTTAGTTCCAATTTGCATTTCTCTTGCTATTTAGGTTTTAGGACATGTTTTCATGTGGTCACTTATAGTTTGTATCTCTTCTTTCGAAAGCTGTTCATATCCTTTGCTCACTTATCTATTGAGGAATGGCTCTGGATGTTATAAATTTGTGTCACTTCTCTCAAATGAATTGAGATTTCATGTACATTTGCTTTTCTCTAGATTATACTCTAGGGATTAGAGTATGGTATTCCCCATAGAAATTTATGGCCTTCAAGATATATTGTTTAGTTCTTCTTTCCCTAGTCATTCTTTTTCTGGAACCCATTTAGTTAGTTACATTTGTGTTATTTCTATATCTATAGCTAGAGGCTTATTTTAAATACAGCATTAAAAAAATAAAAATTTAAACCCAGCCATCTCCTCAGGGCCAGGCATTTCTTCTCATTTAAAGAGTACTTGCATTAGGTTCTGTGTTGTAAGTTTGTCATTAACTTTTCAGGATACAGCCCGGGGTCATTAGAAACATAAAATGTTATCTAGAATTATTAGTAGTGTGCTTTTTTTCTCTCATAAAGAGAAAATTTGTGCTTTAATGAAGATGTTGCAATGATTTTTATGGTGAAAGTTTCTAAAAGTTATGAGTTTATGCAGTTTTCAAGCTTTAAGGTTTTTAGCTTTATGTAATTTAATTATCATTAGTATAAATAAAGTTGGTTTTCAGATGAATGATATGACCAGTTAGTCCCCAAGCATTTATTAAGTGTCTGCTATGTGCTAGGCACTGTGCTAAGTTCTAGGAATATAAAGTGCATGATAGAAGAATGAAATAGTCCTTGCCCAAACAGTTTATATTTTATTAAGTAAAACATGTGCATGTAAAGGTGTGTATGCATAAAAGTTATTGATACTTGCAGCTGAGGAAGGCATCAGCAACTGAGGAGGTCGGGAAAAGTGCCTTCTAGAAAGTGGCTGTTGAGTTGAGGCTTGAAAGAAAGCTAAGGGTTTTAAGAAGCAGTGTTGAAGATGAGATTTCTGGTGATGAGGAGCAGAGAGTGTGGAAGGTGTGGAGGAAATTGGATACTGAGTATTACTTAAGAAAAAGTTAAAAAGGCCACTGTGACTAACTATAGTGGACACAAGAAGAGGAATGTACAATAAGGGTAGAAAGATAAGTTGGGGCCAGGTACTGAAAGCAGCAGAGACAGGAGTTTACATTTGCTCCACTTTGCTCCAGAGGAGATAGGAAATCACTGGAGTTTATTGAATAAAGGAGTGACATGGTTAGACTTGGAAGATAGAAAAATTATTTCAACACCAGTGTAGAGAATGTATTTTATTGGGATATTTTGGGGGAAGGGAGAATGGATGAAGAAATATAAGCCAAGCCTGATGCTGGGGATACAAATACAAAAGAGAAGACTTTCCTTGCCTTAAAGGAGCTTACAGTCTAACATTACATTTTATACACACACACACACACACACACACACATACATGCACATACGCAATATACTTGTAGTGTAATACTTTATGTAAATATATAACTGTAACATATAATTGCTTATATAGTATACTTGTAGTATGTGACTTGTAGAAGTCTTTTGTGTGTATATACACACACACACATATATATATTATTATTATTATTATTATAACAGTTTAGTATGCTTGATGTGATAGACTATCTTTGAAGACCAGTTTACAGATGTAAAGGTACATCAACAGAAATTTGGCCACTAGGTAATGGCCATGGTGACACATAAACTAGATAAAATACAATTTGGCCTCAGTCCTATGCTTGATTTCACAATAATGGCGGCAGAGTAGCATAAAGGGGGGCAGAAGGTATTAAAAATCTCACCTTTTTTATGATCTCAAAATATCAATTTAACTATTGATACTCATAATGTGAGATATTTAATCAGTAGCAAACAAGTTACTCCACTAATAGAGCTCAGTGGCTTGGATTTAGTAGGCACATACATTTTTTTAATATTTTTTACCAATTACATGTAAAAACAATTTTTAACACTTGTTTTTAAACATTTTGCATTCCACTACTGCATTATTGGTGGAGTTGTGAACTGATCCAGCCATTCTGGAGAGCAGTTTGGAACTATGCCCAAAGGGCAGTCAAACTGCATACTGTTTGATTCTGTAATACCACTACTAGGTCTGTATCCTGAAGAGATAATAAAAAAAAAGAAAAGGACCACATGTACAAAAATATTTGTAGCGTCTCTTTTTGTGGTAGCCAAGAATTGGAAACTGAGGGAATGCTCATCTGTTCGGGAGTGGCTGAACAAGTTATGGTATATGAATGTAACGAAATACTGTTGTGCTGTAAGAAACAATGAACCGGCAGATTTCAGAAAAAACTGGAAAGACTTATTTGAACTGATGCTGAGTGAAGTGAGCAGTCTAGAACATTGTACACAGTAACATCAACATTGTGTGATGATCAACTATGATGGACTTAGTTCTTTTCAGCAATACAATGATCGAAGACAATTCCAAGAGACTTTTGATGGAAAATACTATCCATATCCAGAGAAAGAACTATGGAGTCTGAATATAGATCGAAGCATACTATTTTCACTTTTTTTTTTTGGTTTGTTTTTCGTGGCTTTTCTCTTTTGTTCTGTTTCTTCTTTTACAACATTACTAATGTATATGTATATATAGCCTATATCAGATTGCTTGCTGTCCTGGGGAGGGAGGAAAAGAGGGAGGGTGAAAAATTTGGAACTCAAAATCTTATAAGAAATGAATGTTGAAAGCTATTTTTCTTTTTGTGGGGGGAGAGGGCCAGGCAATGGGGTTAAGTGACTTGCCCAGGGTCACACAGCTAGTAAGTGTTATATAAGTGTCTGAGGTTTGAACTCATGTCCTCCTGAAGTCAGGGCTGGTGCTCTTTGCACTGCACCACCTAGCTGCCCTGAAAACTATCTTTACATGTAAATGGGAAAAAAAATAATACTATTTACTAAAAATATTTGAGTTACAAATTCTCCCTTCCTCCTCTCCTCCCTCCTTGAGAGGGCCAGCAATTTGATGTAGATATACATATGCAGTCAGTGCAAGACACCTTTCCGTTAGCCATATTGCAAAAGAAAACACAGACCAAAAATAAAAAACCCAAGAAAAATAAAATTTAGAAAAACATGCTTTGATCTTCATTCAGACTATATCAGTTCTTTCTTTGGAGGTGGATAGCATTTTTCATCACAAGTCATTTGGAATTATCTTGTATCATTGCATTGCTGAAAATAGTTAAGTCATTTATAGTTGATCATCATACAATATTGCTGTTACTGTGTACAATAGTCTGGTTCTGCTCACTTCACTTTGCATCAGTTCATGTTAAGTCTTTCCAGGGTTTTTTGAGAGCATCTTGCTCATCATTTCTTATAGCACAATATAATTCCACCACAATCATATACCATAACTTGTTCATTCCCCAATTGATGGGTATCCCCTCAATTTCCAATTCTTTGCCACCATAAAAAGAGCTGCTATAAATATTTTTGTACATATAGGTCCTTTTCTGTTTTTGTTTTTGTTTTTTTAGTCTCTTTTGGTGTATAGACCTAGTAGTGGTATTGCTGGGTGAAAGGGTATCACAGTTTTATAGCCATTTGGGCATAGTTTCAAATTATTCTTCAGAATAGCAAAGTTTTATTATTTTTTTGGAGGATTCTCTCTGATACACGTCCTACATATACTTCTTTGAATAAGACTCAACAGTATTAATTTCTAAAGATGTGAGTGAGAGGGAGGAAAATATGCAAACTGAAGCATTGCCAGAATGGTTCATTTTAATTCCTTTGTACAATTTTACTTTATTTTTCTTTTCAGAGAAGAACTAAAGATGACACTTGGAGAACTGATGACCTCAAGAAATACCTTCGGGTAATGTTTCAGAGATTTAAATGAAGGTTCATTTAATTTGTGAATTATTTTTACTGATAACTTTATTTGGCTCATTAATATATATTCCATTATGAGTGTACTATCTTTTTCTTTTTTCTTTTTGATGAGGCAGTTGGGGTTAAGTGACTTGCCCAGGGTCACACAGCTAGTAAGTGTCAAGTGTCTGAGGCCGGATTTGAACTCAGGTCCTCCTGACTCCAAGCCAGAGCGCTATCAACTGTGCTACCTTGCTGCCCCGTGTACTATTTTTTAAAAAGGGGTTTTGGTTGGGTGACATAGCACCTACTTTTATGTCTTTGTATTATTATATGTTCAAATGAATTTCTCTCTTGGATGACTACCCATAGTTACAGAAATAGTGTAAAAAGCATGAGGCTGAGAATGCATCTGCTGTAGGGGTCATGATGGTAGGAACTTTCAGATCCCGGATTGTTGGGTGAGTTCTTGCTCTATATTCATAACTAATAATTCATATAATACTTCATAATACTTCAATAATTCATAGCAAGTAGCAAGCCTACTGAGATTTATTGTAATGGTAAAGTGTATCAGACACTCTCTGGTTTCTGTTAGGTATTTTTGAGAGTAGAGTAGAGTTAGTGGAAGATGACATCACACAGAGAAGTTGCACAGTGGATAGAGCACTGCGCCTGGCATCAGGAAGGTCTAAGTTCAAATTTGACCTCAGACACTTATTAGCTGTTGACCTTGGGCAATATCTTAACCCTGATGGTCTCTGTTTCCTCATCTGTAAGATGAACTGGAGAAGGAAATGGCAAACCACTCCAGTATCTTTGCCAAAAAAACCCAAATGGGCTCATGAAGAGTTGGACGTGACTAAAATGACTGAACAGTAGCAGAGGGATAGAAATAGACTTCTTTCAAGGGCTTCTCCTTCAGAATCTGTAATCAGGATTCCCAGAGCTACTGGTAGATTCCTATCAGTTGCTGAGTAACTTGGTTTATACAGGTCTTACGGCGGCATCATTTGTTTGTATTTCGTGAAACAAAAGGGGGAGATGAATATCCAGAACTATACCAGAGATCAGTTTTTTGTCATAGTGTCAACACGTGTTGCTGCCACCATTGATACAGCCCAAAAGCTGCAATAAGGAGTTGAAAATTTTAATACTAAAAGCAAAAAGAGGGCCTAAGCTTTTGCCCAGAGGCAAGACAGGCAAGCAGAAATGGGTTTGGGGAGAGGAGTTTATAAGAAAATTAAGCAAGATAGGTCAGTTGTATTATACTAATATTAATGTTTATGGTGTAGGATTATATAATACCCATAATACTATATATGAAACAATGTGAATCAAAATACAGTTGAAGTCTGAAATGATTGATTTAGCCCTTCATCTTGCTGAGGTTAGAAAGAAGTTGATTTGAATGCATATATTCTTTTAATTTATTTTTAGTTTTCAACATTCACTTTTATAAGATTTTGAGTTCCACATTTGTTCCCTTCTGTCCCCTCTTCCTTCCCCCAAGATGACATGCAGTCTGATATAGGCTATACATGAATGCATATATTCTGACATATTTATAGGTGGATGTAGTTATTCGCTTTTGAAGGAGAGTAATGATTCTTACCCAATATCAAATATACTTTAGACTCTTCAAGGGTAAAGACTGTTTTTCTAGTGTAAGATAGTATTTTCTTTTCCGTCTTTATTCTAGGCATCACAGTCAGATACTCAAAAAGAAGAAAGGAAACATAGAGAAAGGAAACCACACAGAGATTCAGAAATGAATGACTTGTTTGAATACAAAGAGTATAAACACAAAGATCAAGAAAGAGAGATAATGAAAAGCAAAGAAAGGACAGGGGAAAGAGACAGTCATATAACTAAAGACACTGGGAAAGGTTATTATGGTGATAGAGACAAAGATAAGCAAAAAGAAAAGAGAAAAGAAACAAAAGAACAAGAAAGAGAGAAAAATAAAGAGAAACATCGTGAACAGGATACCGAGAAGGAAAAATATCACCGAGGGAAGGACAAAGATAAAGAAAGAAAATTTAAGAAAGAAGATTTTAAGCAAAGTGTCATATCACATCATAACTTAAAGGGATTTGAAATGCGAGATAAAGATCTGGAAAAATTAGAAAAGAAGATTTTTTCAGGTAGGTTGACTTGTCTTATTGGGCACATATTGGCTGTTTCTCTTCAATTTAGCAAAATTTCTTAGAATTGGTCAGCTGGAATTAGATTCAGTTTTTTAAAACTGCCCCTTATTTTCCATACCATGATGGTGTAACTACACTCTTAGGCATCGCTACTGTTAGCTACCAAAATGATCTCAAATTTATTTCTCTGGCAAAAAAATGTTTTGCTTTTTGGAAAAAATGTTTTATATAAATTTAAAAATGTTTTGTTTTAATTTCATTTTCATGAGCATTTAGGTTTTTACTGAGTAAATTTATAGGTGGATAACTAGAGGCTGTACCAGATGAGTGCCCCAGAGCCAGGCACACAGTGGACTGGCCACCTAAGTTGTGTGTTGGGTCCATGTTCCCATACCCCTGCTGGTCTTCCCTGGTGGGGATCCTGGCTAGCCCTTTCCTTGGGCTTTTTTATTGATTCGCTGGGGCCTCAAGTATAAGGGAATGGTGTGGGCAGGTGGCTGTCACTCCCAGCGGTAGAACTGGAATGACCAAACATTAATTACACACACACACACGCCATGTATGTGTATATGTACATACACATGTGTGTATGTATGTATATATATATATATAAACACATATACATGTGTATAAATATGTATATACACACACATACACACACTTTTAAGAAATGCAAAACAAAACATTACCCGGATGAGCAAGAGATAGTAGGGTTGCTTCGGGAACTTCAGAAAGAACAGTATGTGCCTGAAGCTGATCAGCCGCAGTTATATACTGGTATGTCCTGTCTAGTCTGGTTACATCAGGTTTCTCTTTCTGTTAAACAAGCTGTGGATGTCTTTTTTGTAGTACCTGAATTATTCTATACTGGCAATATGGTTCATGGTTTGGGGCCATTAGTTGTCCAGTCTGCAAACAAATGCTTACCTTATTCTTACAAGTATTTGGTGAAGATAATCAGACTCAGGATGTCTCAGAATTGCATCAAGATATTAATAACTGTAATCAGAGATTCTCAGGACAACCCAGATCTATTATGGAAGGAAGTATGGATCTGCCCACTTTACTGAGACATGCATTCAGGGAAATGTTTTCAGTTGGGGGCCTTTTCTGGATGCTCTGCATCAGGATATTACTTTGTTTATTGGGAGCTTTTTTCTATCTGATATCAACTTTGGATTTTGTTCCTGAAGCCTTGTTTGGAATTCTAGGATTTCCAGATGATTTCTTTGTCATCTTTTTATTGCTTATATACATCTCTATCATGTATTGAAAAGTGCTAACACAAAGGCTAAAACAAAGGATGTAAATGATTGTTGCTTGAGCTTATGTGGAAAACCATTCAAATGAATCGTTATAAAACATTTAATATCATTTTGCAGGTTTAAAAACATCTTAGGAAATTTTGCTAACAGGAACTGTATCATTGTGTTGGAGGTTATAATACTGAAGCTAGATTTATAACCATCTATAGTAATGTCTATTTGTTTAATAACTAGCTATAAAACAAGGGGGGATTAAGTGAAAAGAAATATTTTTATATCTTTACCTATCTTTCAAAACTAAACCAACTGGCTATATAAAAAGTTATTATTAAATATGCAGTTTGCTATCTTCCTATGTGAGGAAGTAGAAATATTATAATGGATAATTTTCTTAATAGTAAAATGTTACATAAAATTTTAAAAATAAAAAAGAATTTATAGAAAATTCTAGACATCAGTTTTTTTCTATGAATGTTTCAAATAATTTTAATTTCTTTGCAGAAAATTACATGTTCAGAATTTTTACTAGTTGTTGGTCTCTTAATGAAAAAAAATTTTTAAGTTCATTGTTCCATTGAAAACTCAAGATCCCTCAAAGAACCTGTACTTTACTTCACAATGGATCCATGATCTTTTCTAATTGGGACTTTCCTCCAGTGGTTCATGTTGTCTTAGCAGAAAAGTAACCACTTAATACATCTTGCTGATCAATAGGTTGACTGTGCCTATTCATAACTTCTTATCCTGTGCAATTCTTGTCCATGTTTGGAAGCGTGTGGTACATTGGAAAAAGTACTAAATTTGGAGTCAGAGGATATGGACTTAACTCTTAGCTCTGACACGTGCAACCTTGAGTAACCTTTGGGGAAGTCACCGACCTACCAGTTTCTTCGTCTATGACAATTAGCCATCCTAAGATGTCACCACGTTCCCTTGTAGCTCTAAATTTACAATTTTGTGTTTCCTCTATAAATATAAATAGAGGATCAACTGGACATGCTACAGGCTTTCTTTCATGTTGGTCATTTAACATTTCAAGGGAAACCAGTCTTGTACTTGGCTGTCTGTTTATTATCCCTTACTCTCACTGCCATGTCATAGCAGCAGGTTTTTTTTCCTTTTCTGATCATTTATTACCGCTACATTGTCCTTTGTAGCACTCCTCGGGCATGTATTATGGTTGGTAATCTGTCACTGTTCTCCCAGGCTGCCACTACTCTGGCTTCTAGCTTTTCTCCCCAATCCTGAATTTATAATCAGCCAATGCAGATACATAGTATCTTCCTTGTTTGAATCCCTCAGCATCTTGTCCTATAAAATCTCATACTCTTAACATCACCATGTGCCTTCTCTTTTCTTACTCATTGGGTTTTGCATGATGGTGGAAGAAGTCATACAACCATGCAGACTGTCTACTTCAAATTTGGATTCCCTAATTTCCCCTTGGCCCTCACTGCAAAGTAATCTCTTTTCTCTTTTCTCTTTACTGTCACAGTCCTCTAGAAGAAGGACCGTTTCAGACCTTTGCTTTACTCTCCAAATTTGCAACACCAGTCTTCACCTTAACCTCTCAGCAGAAGACCTTGTTTCATACTTTTCTGAGAAAAATAGATGCCATTTGCATTAAGCTTCCTTTTCTCCTTTATTCTGTTTTTTAAAACACCTTATGTTGTTCTCTATGTGCTCTTCCTTTGCTTTAGTCTCTGAGGAAGAGGACCTATTTCCTTCCCTTACACTTATGCCTTTGATCTTCTGTTTTCCCATCTTCTCTAGCAAATTGCTTCTACTATCATCTTCTCCTCACTATTTGTTATTTTTTTCTTTGAATAATATTCTATTTTTCCCAGTTACATGTAAAAACAATTTATAACATTCGTTTTTCAAAATTTTCTGTTCCAAATTTTCTCCCTCCTTCCCACCTCTTCTCTCTTTCTAAAGCAGTAAGCAATTTGATATAGGTCACACATGTGTAGTCATGTAAAACATATTTCCATATTAGTCATTCTGTGAAAGAAAACAGACCTCCCTCCAAAAAAAACCCATGCAAAAAAGTGCTTTGCTCTGCATTCAGATTCCATCACTTCTTTCTCTAGAGGTGAATAGCATTTTTCATCATGGGTCCTTTGGAATTGTCTTACATCATTGTATTTCTGAGAGTAGCTAAGTCTTTCACAGTTGGTCATTGCACAGTATTGCTGTTACTGTGTATGTTCACATAAGTCTTTCCAGGTTTTTCTGAAATCATTCTGCTTTTCATTTCTTATAGCACAGTAGTATCCATTACAATCATATACCACTCTCCCTGTTTTGTTTTGTTTTGTAGTTTTTTTTCTTGTTATCCACTGTCTCTTTTCTTGTTTCCTCCAGACATACTCAGAACTCCCTTATTCCTATTAAAAACCTTCCCTTGACCTTACCATTTCCTCAGGCTGTCATCCTATATCTTCTCTTTCATTACCAGGATTTCTAGAACAAGCTGTGATCACTTATTGCCTCTACTTCCTTTCCTGTCACTCACTTCTTAATCCCATGCAGTTTGGCTTCTGAACATATCACTCCATTGAAAATGCGTTCTCAAAGTTACCAGTGATCTCTTTAAGTGCCACCTCCAGTGGCTTCTCAGTCCTCATTTTTGTTGAAATCCCTGTTCTATTTTGGCATTGTTATTTTTCAGTTCAAAGGCATGTATAAATTAGTGGATTTTTTTAATTCTAAATGTTTATTCTAAATAGTTTTCCAGAATAATTGAGTTAACTTAACAGCTTCATCAACAGTGTCTTAGTATGCCTACCTTCCTACATCCACAATTTTACCCATTCATCTTTGTCATCTTTTCCAGTCTGATGTGGGTGTGAGGTAAAATGTCAAAGTTCGAATTTCTCTTGTTATGGTGATTTGGAGTAGTTTTTCATATAATTGTGAGCAGTTTGCTATCCTTAAAATTATTCATTTATCTTTTGGGAAGTACATCCTGATCTTACATATTTTTGTTAGTTTCTCAGACATATATCTAAGGAAGTAGCTAAGTGTTTAATATCAGGTTTTTATATTGGAAATTTTTGGTGCTGTTGACAGCTTTCCTTCTTTTCCTAGATACATTTATTTTCTTTGTGCAAAGTTCTTAAACTTTATGTAGTAGAAATTGTTTATTTGCTTTTTATAATCTCCTCAAACCTGTGTCATACTTGTGAAAGGTATCTCCTTCCATTCTCTGATCTTTAAATGTGACATTTTTTATGTTTAAGTCATATTAATATAGATGGGTTTTGTTTTGTGTATAACATATGTGTAAGATGTTTTTCTTTCTTTCTTTCTTTCTTTCTTTCTTTCTTTCTTTCTTTTTCTTTCTTTCTTTCTTTCTTTCTTTCTTTCTTTCTTTCTTTCTTTCTTTCTTTCTTTCTTCCTTCCTTCCTTCCTTCCTTCCTTCCTTCGCAATGGGGTTCAGTGACCTGCCCAGGGTCACACATCTAGTAAATATTATGTGTCTGAGGCCGGATTTGAACTCAGGTCCTACTGAATCCAAGGCTGGTGCTCTATCCAATGCACCACCTAGCTGCCCTAAGATGTTTTTCTAAACCTAATTTCTGCCAAGTTCCTTTTTAGTTTTCTTGGCTATTTTTGTGGAATAGAGAATCCGTGCATCAGTGGTTTGTGTTTTGGGGTTATTGAACACCAGGCTACAACTTTCTGTTGTTTCTGGTCTTGCTTTCTTCGTCTGTTGTATTGATCAAATTTTGTGTTCTTTAACTGGTACCAAATAGTTTTGATGATTACTATACAGTAGTGTGGTTCAAGATGCCTTCATTTCTCCATTTTCCCTTATTTTCCCTTGAGATTCTTGACTTTTTGTTCCTTCAGATGAATTTTATTGTATTTGTTGAAAGCCTTCCACAATTTCCTAAATTTGAATTCTACCTGTTTTCCTCTTTCTAATCAATTTTGGCCCCAACTCGTTGTCCATTTGTCATGCCTACTTTATATGGGTTAATTAGTTCAATGGACTAATTTATCTAATTGTATGTCATAGTTGAGATAATTGGTATTATTCATTCATTTGTTTTTCTATGTATGGATTGCCAGACCTATCTTTTCTATATCTTTTAAGTAATCATGAGTCTTACTGAAGAGGATTTGGGAGGATGGGCCTTGATGCAGTCTGCCCAGTATAATTCCCAAACAAGCCTACCTTGAGGACATCCCCATCTATAGCAGGGGTTTTTAACCTGGAGTCTATAAACTTGGATGGGAAAAAAATACATAGGTATTTTCACTAATTTTTGGTTTCTTTTGTAATTTTATACATTTATGTGTTTAAAATATTATTCAGAGAAATGGTCAGTAGGCTTCACCAGACTACCAAGGAGGCCACGACACTGAAAAGATTAAGAACCGCTGATCTGTGGGGAAATCCCTCTTTTATTTGGAATCCGTTCAAGACTTGGGACCACAGATTTATAGCTAGAAAGAAACTTCCAACTCCTTATTTTATGCATAGCTGAGTTCCAAAGATGTGCCTAAGGAAGATGATTTTGACAGGTATATGAAGAGGGGAGAGACTGGAGGCAGGAAGACTTAAAATAAGAAACTTATACAATAGTGTAAGCAGATACTGAGGAGGGTTTGGATGTAAGAGATGTTGGAAAGATGGATTTGAATTGGCCACTGGCTAAATGTGGGGTGGGGATGGGACTTGGAGGGAGAGACAGAGTCATCTTCTCATACAGTAGTGAATATCTTTGCCAAGCTATGTCTCTCTATTTTATGTTTTGCTTGTTAGTAATAAGTAGATGATTATTGAGCTAACTTGTCTCTGTGATTACATCTATAAAGGAATCTTGTATTATCTTAACATGTTCAATAGATACATATTCTTGGAAAGGAGCCTTTAAGCCTGCATTTTTTTCTTATGACTCAGTTGCTCCTTTGTAATCAACATACAATAGATCTTGTAGGATCTTGTATTTTCTATACCTCTAAGTAATTAGTGTGATCATGAATGTGTATTTTGGTATAGAAAATTGTCCATGAAAGCCTGCCTCTTCCTGTTGCATATTTTCCATGAAGATTACTCTTGATACATATGTGGATAGGTAAACATCTTTTCTTGGGGGGGGGTAATGATATCATACATAATTTTTCCATTTGTTTAGCATCTTCTTCTCTTAGATATCACCTGAAATTGATCCTTCAGTGCTTTCAAAATTGTGTCTGTTCTAGCTCGTATTTCTCTTTTGCGTGCTTGTTCTAAGCCTAGCTTCTCTTCCTGATTTATCTTCTTATTTTAAATTACTAATATAGCACATTGGCTACTCAGGTTCTAGAGCCCAGACTTTGATCCAGAATGAGAAAAGATTTCTGTGAAAACACTGGCTGGTCTGTTTGGTTCTTTGCTTGTATCCTGGATTAGTTTAACTTCCCCTATAAATAAATGAAAATTATATTATGCTGATGGAAAGTATGTTGCTTTAGAAACTATCTGCTTTATTTTAAAAAATAATGTTTTTTTAGTTCATGATATTTATTATTGCTTTTAGAGGGGTTGGTAGTCTAATATACAAGCCATATTTTATTAACTAAGAAGAAAATAGTGTAAGATATAAAAATCTATGCCCATTGTTTCAATTGTCAATACAGGCTCCTAATCTTCATTATTCATTTACTGAATCAATGTCAATTTAATGTAGTATTTTAACTTAAAAGGGAAAAAAAATCTATCTGAGAAATAAGAAATGTCAATTAAGTAGAAAAAAATACCATGTTGCTTTTTTTCCTTGTGTAATATACTCTGCAATTGTTGAATTTTTTAGTCTTAAGTTAAAATGTAACTTTTTACATATAATTTACTCTTAATTCATAAGCACTCTAAGATATAGTATTTAAAATATAATAAATATTAAGCCCTTAGAATAAGGAATAATCTTTTTTCTCTCAAAATAAAATAATTTTTGTTTTTCTCCTTCCTTTCTCCTTCCTTCGTTCCTTCCAAATATATAAGCATTTGACTGTACCCATAGCTCTTCACCCCAGTATTAGGCAGTGTTAGGACCTACACACATTCACAATTCTTTCCTTATTCAGTGAACCATAGCCACCAAGGAATAATCTTTTAATATATGCAATAAATAGTGAAAAACTGCAAAAGCCTAATAGAACCATGTTTTTTTGTGTTAGAATTTCTTTGTTTAGCATGTAAATAAGAAAAATTTCATTTTTATAGGAATTAGAGGAAAAGATAAAGACAGAGAACAGAGAGATGATTCTGAAAGAAAAGATGAAGACAGAGAAAGAAAGTACCGAGAAAAGAAGGTAAGCAAAGTAGGCACTAAATTCTACGTTGGTTCCAAGTGGGGGGAACTTTAATAATTATGACTAAAAAGGATTCTCGTTTGAGCTGTTCAAAACATAAGATGTAAACAGATCAGGACAAGGCCATGAGGTAAGTGGAATGAACTCTTGGTTATCTATGCATTCGTACAGTTAGTACCTGGAACATAATGAGTAATAAATATGTGGAGGATTTTCTCCTTTGCCCTAATTACATTTGGGTCCTCGATTCACAGTGATCAGGAAAATGTAGCAAAAAAGGACACTATCAGGAGAGACAGTGTGAACAAGAAATTCAGGCATTTTGCTTGACCTTGTTTGATGATTTTTATGCGGTCTTTTTACATTCCCTCTTCTTACATCGATGAGATTGATAGAAAGGAAGTACGATCTTGATGACTGGCAGACACATTAAAAGAAGAGAGTTAGGGGACTGTCTGAGTTTACTCAGCAGCACATATCATTTTTAGGCCTGGCAGAGACTGGTAGAAGTCTTTAACTGAAGAGAAACGTTTGAAGAAATACTGGAGAAGCTGCCTCCTGTCATACCTATTGTTAACACTTCAGTTTTAGCCTTCAGCTGCCTGATTAATCTATTTAATCTATTAGGTCAGGTCAGTGGAAGGTGGATGATAATACAGTATTACATAGATGTTTGTTGAATGAATCAATGAGAGCACACAGGTAATTGCTGTGGTGAATAATACCTGTGGGGAAAGGAAATGACTGTTCGGAGGAACCTTAGACAAGGGAATCTTTTGATATCTGTTACTTCCATTTTTCAGATAAACGGAGATTAAGTGATTTGCTCGAGTTTATTCAGCTAGTTAGTGTGGCACAGTTGGGACAAGGTGACTCCCTGGTCCTGTTCTTTTGATGATGTCACACCCTCTTCCTGAGTTTGAGGTATCAGGGTGACAGAGTTAACTGTTCCTTTAGGTAAAGAGGATGAATTGGGAAAATTGTCAAAAATAAGACAGACCATAGATTGTGGGAATACCTCCTTTCAGTGAGATGGAGAGGTTTTTAGTAGAACACCAAAAACCATTTCTTAGGACAAGTAGTCTTAGGCTTTACAAGAAAATAAATGTACTGGCTTGTTTGTTTTTTCCTTTGTATTTATATTTTTTTCCTGAGTAACAAAGGCAACAAGGGAGATGTACCGGTGGTCAAACCTGTGTAACAGTAGTAAGTCACATAGTAACTAAGATAGTTGTGATGAAATATGATGAGAAAAAAAATAGAAGAATTTAAAGTAAACATCCCAGAGAAAGCCCAGGTCCATTTTAAATAACATTCTTGGAAGCTGAGGGAAAATGTTCACTCTAAATCAGAAATATCACAGAGACCTCAGCCCAAAACCCTGCTTGGTAGGATGACAGACAAGAGGCTATTTTAGGAAAGAAATACTTCTAATTTTGGAAAATTGAATGGTAGCTCAAGGAAAAGAAATAAAGAAGCCTGTAGGGAAACCTAACTAGAGGGCAATTAGGTAGAACATAAAAAAACCTTCCCTGATCACTGCTAGTCAGAGGTAACCTGCTTTGCTTTTCTGTGAAACTTTGTATACTGCTTTCAGCCTCTCAGTGACTTAGGATGAGGTATGATGGTGAGTCAGGGTTTGCTTTGCCTTCCTTATTTCTGTTCCTCCTCTCCCTTCATTTCCCTTTTGCTGATGAAAAGCACAACTGACAAATTTGAAGACATTTATCATTAATATATTCAGTGTACAATAGTTCTGGAACCAGTGGAATGACCATGGTACAAAATTTGCCTTGTCTTCTGTACTGTACTGGGTTAAGGTGGGAAGCAGTAAGTTGGTCCCAGGTCTGTGGACCTGATGAAGAAAGAAGATTTTCATGACCACCTAGCTAAAGTTCAGTTTAGTTGTTTTTCAGTCTTATCTGACTCTTTGTGACACTATTTGGGATTTTCTTGGCAAAGATACTGGAGTGTTTGCCATTTCCTTCTCCAGCTCATTTTACAGATGAGGAAATGGAGGCAAACAGGGTGAAGTGACTTGCCCAGGGTCATTCAGCTAGTAAGTGCCTCAGGCCAGATGAGTCTTCCTGACTCCAGGGCCAACACTCTAGCCACTATGCCACCTAGCTGCCCATTAGCTAAGGTTAGCCATTCATATATAAAGGACATATGTAAATCAGAGAGTCACAGTTGTAGTTGTAGACATATAAATATATCCATTTTTCTTCTCATAACAGGTAAACTCTGTCTTCTGTGTAGTTAAGGACTTCATGTTTTTTACAGTCAAAAATTATCCAACTTAACAAGTGGGAGATAAGGTTGGATAGATATACTGGGGCCAGATTTGGGAGTCAAGTTGATGAGTTTGGGCTTCATATAATAACAGGTTTTTGAGAAGAAGAGTGAAGGATGAAAAGTCTTGTTTAGGGAAGATTGGTTTGGCAGTGGTAGGGAGAATAAATTGAAAGGATGAATAGGAGTCAGAAAGACTAGCTATGAGGCAGTTATAATATTCCATATTTGAGGTAATAAGACTCTAGATTAGGGTAGAATAGAATAGAAAAGAAGGTACTAACTGAAAAAAGGCACTTCAAAGTAAAAATGACAGGACTTAACATTTTTAAATATTGCAGTATGGTGAAAATAAAGAGTTTACTCTCAAATATTATCTGCATAAAGAAGATGGAGAAAAAAAGCACAAGAGGCAAAAAGAACAAGAACAAGAGAAGAAACACAAAGAAAAAAGCAGCACTAGGGAAAAGAGAGAAAAGGTATCCAAAGAAAAAAGCAGTACTGCCTGTGACAAGGATGGGGAAGAAAGACATAGAGAGAAACGACATAAAGATGGAGTTCCTTTTGAGGATGAGAGACTGAAAAATATCACAGACAAAAAAGAAAAAACATCTAAAGAAGAGCATAGAAAGAAAAAGGAATCCAAGGTAAAATTTTCTCTTACTTACAAACTGAATTTTATTATTTAGTCCTCCAGCTTGTGCATGCTAGTGGATAACAATGTATGAGTGGCCAAGTCACATTTGATTCCAGTGAAGTGAATGTGGAGATTTATAGCTCCAGATATGGGAGATGAACATAACTGAAATTAGGATTGTTTGATTAGTATTGAAAGATGATAAAATCTTCATGTACCGACAAATAAAGCCATTACCTGTCATTCGTATGTTGAATACATTAATGAAAAGTGCTTTGAAGTGCTCAAAAATTCTCTGGAAATAATGTTGAAAAAGCAAGAAGTTGTGGCTTTATTAACACTTTATATAAAATTGCTCTTGACTGTAAAGGATCTAATTATATTACACATATATGTTGATTTAAATGCTCTGGTTGCTTAATACAATTCTAGACTCACTATTGAATTTCAAAGAAATCAAATCAGTATTAATTTATCTGTTCATTGCCTGGCTCGCTAATGAATTAGAAACCTAGGCTCTTTTATTTTGTTTACTTGCTTACAATAATCTAGATTTATGAATTGCTTCTCTTTACATGAATTCAAGACATATTCACTTTTATTATTTTGAAGGAAAGGGTAGCTCTTAGCCCCATTTTATAAATTTCTGGGACAGAAAAGTAAAGTAAGTGTTGGGGCTTACAGAGCAAAACTGGTGAAGCCCAAGTTCTTACTAGCACTTAGTCACCTGCTTTCCCTATTATCATTCTAATTTTAGAAGCCCAGAATTAAAATCATAGTATATAGATGAATAGAAAATCATTTTAAGAATGTTATCTTGAAAATATTTCACTTGAAAAAAAAGAAAAAAATTTCACTTGAAACTGTTGTCTACATTAGCTCTGCTCCTGTTTTTTTTCCTTCCTTTCACTGAAAAATGTCATGATTGACTGCCCTTTATCTTTTGTATCTGATAGAGTTTGTCTTTGGGGATCTACTTCCCTTTTAGTATCTTCCTCCTCTTCCCAGTACTATCCCCTCTCTCCCTTCTTCTCAGGTGCCCTGTGCCTTCAGGGGATCCAGAACTACCCTCCTCCTCTCCGCCTGATACTTCCAGCTCTGTTTTCCCCTACTGTATACCTCACTACCCACTCTTTCCTGAATGCCTTGGAATCTGGCTTTCTTTCCCAGGACTCTTAACTATTTTCTGAAAGGTACTTAGGCAAGCTAAGAGCCTTTCTCTGCCTTGATTCACTGACTGCTTCATTTGACCCTCTTGACCACCTGCTCCACTTGAAGTGTCCCTTCCCCCCCTTTCTATAAGAACCTACTCTACTGGTTCTACTTCTAGGTACTCATTTCTTTCCCTTCCTGATTTCCCTTCCTTCTCCTGTTACCTTATATGGATTATGCAGTCAGAAGTCTTTTTTTCAACTCTTTATTGTTTCCATATACTTCCTGTCTTGGAGGACTTATCTCTTCAAATGGGTTCAGGTATAGGGATTTATGCTGATGATTGTAGTTACCCTGGGATTGAAATCTTGGAGTCAGTTAGACTCATTCCCTTCTTTTATTTCCCATATCCAGTCATCCTGTCCTGTCATTTTTACTTTGAAGTGCCTTTTTTCAGTTAGTACCTTCTTTTCTATTCTATTCTACCCTAATCTAGAGTCTTATTACCTCAAATATGGAATATTATAACTGCCTCATAGCTAGTCTTTCTGACTCCTATTCATCCTTTCAATTTATTCTCCCTACCACTGCCAAACCAGTCTTCCCTAAACAAGACTTTTCATCCTTCACTCTTCTTCTCAAAAACCTGTTATTATATGAAGCCCAAACTCATCAACTTGACTCCCAAATCTGGCCCCAGTTTATCTATCCAACCTTATCTCCCACTTGGCCTCAATACACATTCCATGTTTTCACCAGGGATGCGTTCTAACTTGCCTCTTTATAGGACATGTTCAGAGTAGCTTAGTAGATGAAGGAGGGACCTTTGGAGTTGGGACAATTGACTGTGTGACCCAGAATAAGTGAGTTTCCCAGTGTAATTATTTTCTCAGAATAGAAAAAGGAAAGTTTCTGCCAAATTTCTTTATGTAAGGGGCATTAATATATCAATAATAGAAAATTTTGGATCATCCTGAAAAGTTAAAAGTGAAATATACAAAATCACGTAATTATAAGCAATTTTTCAATAAGGATATTTGTCAAACTTTTTAATACCTAGTAATTTGTTATATATTAAAAATATATTTTTAATATATAAAATATATATTTAATTTATAAAATATATAAAAATATTATACATTCTTAGAACTATCTGAAAAAATAATGATTGTTAGCATTCCTTTATTCATCTGTCTCTCAGGCATGGTGCACTGCTTTATTTCAGAGATTACTAGATCATAAAATAGATTATTTTAGGACCAGTTGGAACTGCAGTTCACATTTTTTTTATAGCAGAATTAAGGTTTTTTAAAATATTGATTTTCACTGATAACTTTTACTTTTAGGTAACTCCCATTTCCCAGTGTATCTTTCTCCCCTTGCCCTCTAGTTACTGTTTTCAAATTTGAATTCATATCTGTTTTATGATTGATGTTTTCCTAATGATAGTTAAGAAACATAATAAAATTTATTATTACTTTGTTTCACAGACTAGTGAACACAGAAGTGGAGGAGCAAATTTCAAAAGAGAAAATATATCTGGCAGCCAGTAAGGAAGATGAATAATTTGATTCCAGATATGTATCTCATAGTTCTTTTAGAGTTGGCTTACAAACTCTACATGTTGGCTCTAATTTTGATTAGAGTAAATTATAGGTGAATGAATGAATGAAAAAGCATGTTAAACACTTGGACTGTGTGCCAAGGACTGCGCCAAGTGCTGGGGATATAAATACAAAAGAGAGACAGTTCAATCCCTTCCCTGAAGGGGACTCATTGTGTGTAATAATTGTCTTCCTGAAAAGTGGCATGTGATTATTGTAATTAAAATCTTATTTTAAATGTGGTGGGAGATTTTGGTATCTAGAGAAAACCTTTAGGGAGTAATTGAAAATAGAAAATATTACCTTTATTTTATATTTTCTGTAAGTCTATTATTTGGGGTTTCTCCATGATGAGGTACCCCCTGTACACTTTTTGGAAGTATAACCAACTTGGGAATATTAATAATGTGCTAGAGGGGCAGCTAGGTTGCGCAGTGGATAGAACTCCAGCCTTGGAGTCAGGAGGACCTGAGTTCAAATTGGGCCTCAGACACTTAACAGTTTCTAGCTGTGTGACCTTGGACAACTCACTTGACCCCAATTGCCTGGCCCCCCCAAAAATGTGCCAGAAAAGGTGATTGATTTACTATCTAGTGTACTCCAATAACCTGAAAAAGTTACAACACTTGTAAATGAGCTATTTATTTCCTTTTTCACAAGCATGACATAATTAATTATGTTTCCTATAGATAGGAGTATAAAAAAGTGGTCATTATAAAAAGTTTTTTCATTTGAATGTATGAGTAAAGACATTTGACTTTCCCTTTAAAATTTGGCCAGAATGCATTTAGTACCTTTATTTCTTTTGTTGAATAGGCTCTAGGCATATTTGCGAATTTAAAGTTTATCTTTGTTGTCTTGATACCTCCTCTTTTTTTTTTTAACTTTATATTCCAATTCCCAGGGCCTGTTCTCTCTTGCTCCTGAGATTCCTAGGGCTTTTGTACTCCTTTCTTATGTCCCCTTCCCATTTACTCCACCAAAGATCACTAGCCTTTTTCCTCCCAAAATCAAAAGACACCCTTAAGATGGTTTGCTATTTGCTGAGATCTTTTGATAAAATTAATTTATAGCAACTTGTGAATGAATTATGGGCTTGACTGTTCTGTGGAATTCTTATAATTAAAAAAAATAATTCTTAAAGGTAAATGAATCTAAATATTGGTGGAGTGAGCAGAATTTTTAAATCAAAGGTACTTGCTAGTATCAGTATCCTCCTTCTCTTTGTGAAGAAGAATTGATGTTAGCAACTTGGCCCTCCCACTTCTGAAAATTTGAAATCTCTTGCTTTAGAGCAAGAAGGATTTCTTGACCTATGGTCCATAGGCTGCCACCAGTTTATCTGTGAACTTAGATTAAAAAATAATTACATCTTTATTTTCACTTACTTCTTGCTGAAACTTAGCATTTCCTTCAATTATGAATTAAAAAAAACATTCTAAGGAGGAATCCATAGGTTTCATCAGTCTGCCAAAGGAGTCCATCACAAAAAAGGTTAAGAACTCTTGCTTAAGATCATTAAAAGATATAAGAAAGATTTTGCTCAGAATTGTGTGCTTTTTGTAAAACCCTAATTTTTAAAAAAATTTAAACACAAATATTAAATGTCAAAATGTTGATAGCCTTTATTTTTTTTTTTGCCAGCCAGGTAATTAGCCATTTAGAAGTGTACAACTGAAGAAATAGGGTTAATTTTAAAGGGGAACTTATATTGATTTATAGAGATACAAGTCTTACTTTATGTCTAAATTGGGATGGAGTATGTAAAAAGAGAGTTCAGGGATTTGCTAAAAAGCCTCCCAAAGGTAGAGTGCAGACTCAAACCATCAATATTTAAAATGATAGGCTTGTACTTTTTTAAGTTTGGAGAAACCTCATTAATATTTTGCTACAAAGATAGTTATTCTTTCTGTCATGTGAAAAATATGGTGTCTTAATGTTTATAATGTTTAACTTAACTTTATAATGTTTGGATTCTAGGCATATAGAGAATTCAGGAAAGAATGGTGGAAAGGACAACAAAGACACAAGAAGAAAGGTAAAACAATTTGCTTTGGGAATTACTAGGTCATATACATTTTATAAATAAAATAAAGAGTGTATAAACTAAATACATGTAGCCTAACAGAGTGTCATGATTGAATAAGAAATAGAGCACATAATTCACATGCACATAATTAAAGCAATTTATCTTTTATTATGTGGTCATAGTATGACAAAAAGAGTGAGAAATTGATACTTTAAATTTAGAGGGAATACTCTACTCTGGAAAAATTTTCATCTTTAATTTAGACAATTTGACTCCCAGTTTCAAGTGTTTCTGTTATGCTGTAATGTTTCTTTTAACAAGGCCATTTTTAGCTTGTTTCACACCCCAGAAGATTTAAATTTAGTGTGTAGACAGATCATTCTTAGGCAAAGTCTTAATCATTTAAAAGATAGTGTTAATAACATTATTGCTTATTGATTTAAAAAACTTATCCTCTTATTGAAGCATAGACAGTACATTTAAAAGAAGACAGAATGGTAGGTACTTAATAAATGTTCACTGACCAGTTGTTTGGTCATTATAAGTCTTCTCTAGTATACTCTACTTGAAAAATTGTCACCTTTAACTTAGACAATTGGATCTCTAGCTTCAGGTATTTATATTCTGCTGAGTCATGTTTTTTACAGTGTGGCCAGTTTCAGTTTGTGTCTTACCCTAGATGATTTCAATTGGTATGTGGATGGACCATTCCTAGGCAAAACCTTAAAATTTATTTTTGATTCCATCTCCTTTTTTTTAACCCTTTTCCCTCCTTTTGGCTCTTATGCGATCATTTAGCTGTCTCATTAATGTCCCTAACTGTGTCTTTCCTCTATACTTGCCTTCCTTTGAGTGCCCCATTATCCAAAATTACTTCTCTTTCCTATCTTATTTATTTCATTAAACCTCTTATGTTACTACTTTTTGGAAGAAGTTTTAAGTCAACCTGATTCTTTGATGAAAGTAATTCAAGTAAATTGTGAATGATAGGTAGTTTTAACTTGCCCAAGGAAATATTTGCACCTCTAATTGGTAGAATATGTTTTTAACAGACTCACTAGTGTTTATAGGCATTTATTTTCCTTCTTGTTTAGTTCCTTTTTATCAAATCTTAGTCACTGGTCTCTATTCCCCAATTTTTCATTAACTTAATGTTTCACTTTCTAGGATTCAAGTTATAGATTTTTTTTTTAATCTGTAATGTACTTTTAATGTAACTTGGGATTTGATTGTAAATGAAATAATCAGGCCAAAACTTTTAAGGGGAGGAGAATATAATGTATTTTTCCATAACAAGAACATTAAGAATTCTTTCAGTGTGAGCTAGGGAAAATTTTTTTTTCTCTTGCTTTTTCAAATAGAATCTTGATATTTATGATTTGCCTAAGTCACAAAGTATTCAGTGGGTTAGTGAGTCAGTCTCTAAAGCATTACTAATGTTTTAGAAGAGCTGAAAAACTGTGTGCATAGTGACTGTCAAGTAGGAAGAAAAGTCCATGCATGTCTTTGCCTTTAAAGATGTTTTATTGTTTTAAAAATATCACCATCACATGTCAGTACCATCTCTCCCTGCACTCTCAAGCTGTCACCTCACCATAGAACTTTTTTTTTCAATTTTCAATTAATTTATTTAGTTTTCGTTTTCAACACTCATTTCTATAAGCTTTTGAGTTTTAAATTTTCTCCACCTCACTCGTCTTCCACCTCCCTAAGATGGCATGCAATGTCCATAGAACTACTTAAGGCAAAGAAGTACATTTAAGCAAAATAAGCAAACGTATTGTCTGATAACATAGAGATAGGGTGGGAGAGAACACTGCTTCTGGAATAAATTGCTCATCCATTAACTCTTTCAGGATAGCAGGTTAACAAGACCAGAAGGCAAAATTTATAGTGCTTTTGTGACCTGAAATTTATAGGTATGATTAATGCATACCCTGTAAACGCTTGAGCCTTTCGTATTCACTACATGTGCAGGTCTGTAATTAATGTTTCTTGAATATCAGTACAATTAAGACTTTACTGTGACCTCTCTGTGTCAAAATGTATCAGCATGATTTCTGAAAATGAAGGCAGAGCTCACTTGTAGGACATTTCACTGTTCACCCCAGAGAATTCTTTTCATCCTTTACAGTCATGGGTATTATTATTCAGTTTCAAACAGTATTGAATAGTTTTAGATAATGGCTTTCCTAGAGACTTTCTTTTAGAAAAAGGTGACATCTACTAGTTATATTTGTAATTGAGATCCTGTATAATAGGTAACATTGAAGCTTACTTTTTAGACTGTTTCCTTTATTTGCAATTTTTGTTTATGTATCTTTTAGCAAACTAGTGAAGAAGGAATGTCAGTATGGAAATCCGCCCCAAGGCAATCAAGTGAGGAAACTGATGTAAGGAAGAAAATGCACCTTTTACATAATGATGATAATAATGACAACAATAGTTTCTGTAGTTCTTTAATGTTTGTGCCTTCCATGCAGAGTCTTCCTTGACTCTTACAGCATTCCTGGGAAAGAGGTATTATTGGTATCATATGCTCTGACAGATGAGGAAACTGAGACTCAGAAAGGTTAACTTATTTTCATATACCTGGTTGTTGTTCCTCCTTCATTCTTTTTTTTTTTTAGGCAGTTGGGGTCAAGTGACTTGCCCAGGGTCACACAGCTAGTAAGTGTCAAGTGTTTGGTCTGAGGCCATATTTGAACTCAGGTGCTCCTGACTTCAGGGCCGGTGCTCTATCCACTGCGCCACCTAGCTGCCTCATTCCTCCTTCATTCTTGAAGAGTACTAATGACATCATAAGGGTTATGTCTTGACCAGCAAGTCAAATAGATTTAAGTGAGGCAGAGCTGCGCAAGTCTTTAGCCTCATTCCTCCAGAGCCATTGAAGTCTGTGGCAGGACAAAAGTCAAGACAACTGGTGATGGCCCAGGAGGCAGTGGATAACCTTGGTGTCTTCAGTGTCTGACCAAGCTCTTAGCACTCCATAGCACCTATTTCAGCCATCTTCTTGGCCTTTGGAAAAAGTTGTTCTCATCCTACCTACCATTTCACTAGGGGACATCTTCACATGCTCGGAGTAGACATTTCCTAACGTCACCGACAGGTTTTTGAGGCCTGTCAGTTACCCTCAGTGCACTCCAGCTTATGATATTCTTCCAAAAATGTGGAACCCAGAACTTAACACATTATGCCTATATGAGATCTGGAGTGAGTTTCTTCTGGCTCTCAGGTCCTATGCTCTGTCAAATAAGGTTCTTGAGGCCCAACAGGGATCAGCCAAACCCAAGAGAAAATAGTCTACATCGCCCTCCTTTTCCTTTGGTTTGGCTCTAATGGCTGTTTCTCTCTATAAGGAATACCTGGTGGCTTTCCCTTCAGTTTTTAGAATCAATAAGGTGATCCTTATCCTACTGATTTCTCTTATCATTAGTGATTTGGAGTATGCTTTCATATAGTTGTGAGTATTTTGCATTTTTCCTTTTGAGAATCATTGGCACAGTATCTGACACATGCTAGTCCTTTCTGAATACTCCATGTACTTCAGGGCTGTTCATCCACCTTGGTGTTCACATGTGACCCAACTGTCACCTGTGGCTCCAAGAAGCCGTAGCATGTGCAGCAACTTCACCTCTGTGAATCCGTCTCAGCAGATGAGCTATATTAGGTTGAGAGTAATCTACAGGCCTCACGCCTGTCGGTGAGTTAGAGAATGTCTGCTGCAAATGTGTGAAGATACCCCTGGTGGAATGGGAAGTTGAGAATCATTTGTTCCAACAGCCAGGAAGGTGGAAGAAGCACGTGCTGTGGAGTGCTGAGAGCTTGGTCAGGCATTGTAGATGGGAACGTCATCCATCACGTGCTGGGCCATCCCTAGTTGTCTTGACTTTTATCTTGCTGCTGGACTTTGGTGACTGTGGAAGAAAGAGTGAGGCCGACAACTCTGTGCAACTCTTCTTCACTTAAATCCAGTTCATGCCTAAGTCAAGACATCACTCATGATCTCATTGCTCCTCTTCAGAAATGAAGGACGGGCAACAACAATTTGATTTTACTGGTTTGTTCTTGATCTTAGTGAGAAAAAGTCTACGTATGAAATTCGTATTTCAGCAAAATTGAGAAAAAAAGAACATAAAAGAATGCTATATTTATTCCTACCAGCCAACTACATTAAGAGCAGGACAAGAATAAACTCTTTGACCCATAAAACCTCCTAATTCATATTCCAGTAACTCAGAATCTGTAAAAATTCAGTCAAGGATGGGGGCTGAAATTTATCTCAGTTCATCAATCTCTTTTTCCTTCAGAGTACCAATTAATAGTATAAAATGGGGTATTTTCTTGTGAGGAGAATATGCATGAGCAGTATAGGGAGAGCCTGCCAGGAATTTGGAAGCCACTAAAAAACCATGGAGGAACATTAACATTAGTTGTGATGCTAGGAAAAAATATGGTGTAAAGTAGAAGCACATTTTAAAAATGTTATACTTTTCTTGTTTACACTGATAGAACAATAGCATTAATTCATAAATATTTTGAGTATTTTTCCTCTTATCTGGATTTTGATTTATAAAATTATTGAAAAAATATTCACTAGTCAAAGTAAATAAATACTAAAATTAATTTAACCCACTCAATAGGTTCAAAGGAGGTTCAACAGTTTTACCCTCTTTGGTTTATTCTTTGTTTTGTTTTTACCTGTCTAGGATGTTGAAAAGGAAGACATTGATTTAGAAGATGATGGTGCTGATGACTACACAGCCAATTATGAAGATGATTTTGAAGTACTCATAAAAACTAGACTTTTTTCTTAGCCTGAATTTTTTTATTCTTAGCAGTAAATTTATTATAGCAATTTCCTACTTGCATTATATTTCGTATTATTACCATTAGTATTCTATATTTGAACCATTTGGATACATTTTTGTCTATGAATACCCTACCATATTTTAAACTAAACCTAATACTATAAAATAATCTGAAGATTATAAAATTTGGAATATTTTCAGTTGTACTCTGTCAAAAAATATTTATGTGCATTTGCATGTTCTCTTTATGATACCTATCTGGCAACATTGGGTAGTTAATTTCTCTGACACCAGGATACTTTCAATATATGTGTGTGTGTATGATATAATGTTTCTAGCATAATTCAAAATATAATAAAACATAGAGAGTTAATGAAAATACAGTGCTAAACTGAAGTATATATTTTCTGTTTTTATAGATTGTTTTTGGTCCAAAATTTAGATTTCTAAATCACTTAAAAACTAAAGTCTTCATGTGGGGAAATTCTATTAAAAGCAAATCCACAATAGTTATGTCTTTTTTCATGTTAAAATACCCACAAATATTTAAAACAGTGTAACTTTTGAAGAGTTTCTAACATCTTAGTATTTAATTTCAAGTCAGCAACATAATGAAGTTGCTCCTTAATGATTCTGTCATTTGAATTGAAATATTCCTGAATTTTAAAAACAATCTCTAGAATTGCTTGAACTTTAATTATGGTTAACCTTAAAACAATCAGCAAAATCCTTATTTTTTTTGAAGGACTATGAAGATGATTTTGATAATGGTGATGGTGATGGAGCTGATGATGATGATGATGATGATGATAATCATGATGATGACAGTGGTGGTGGTGCTAAAGAACAGATAAAGGAAAGGGAAGAAGAAATCCTCTAGCCAGGAAGATGGAGATACAAGAAATCCAAAGAGCTATTCATGCAGAAAATGAAAGAATTGGTACATTACCTTCAAAGCGAATTCAAAAGCAGTTTCAAACAGAACTTGAAAAAGAACCAAGGACAGGTATACAAGTAAATGTAAATGATTTTTGTATTATTTTAAACTATTTGGGTAACAATACATACACTCAATTCACATCTCAAAATCAATTTCTTATTGGTGAAAGTGATTTTTATGAATTCATAATGATTCACTTTCTAGCATAATTGAGCATTTACCAGATTCTCAGTAAATTGATTATTAGGAATGACACTATCTGAGTTCAGGTTAATAGAGAGTGTTTGGGAGTCAGAAGCCAAGAATCACAGGACAATTATATTAGACTAAATTTCATCCTTTTTTTGTATAAGAAACTAGTGTGGTGCTTCACTTACAGTTGATAGCAAATTTTTATTGTTGCTAGTTTGATGTGACTGGGACCCTTACTTTGAATTTCCCCTTACTTAGTCTCCTTATTGACTCTTATTGAGGTGGCCAGAACTTAAATGACTATAATGGCACATGGTATTCAGAAATGTTGTTGGGAAGCAGGGAAGCAAGGTTATCTAACATAGCCAGGAATTGCCTAGTTTGTGGGGTTAGACATATTTCAACTAAGTCTGTTATAAAGAGATTTTTAAATGAATCCTATTTCCCTACTGATTTTCATTAGGAAAAATTATAGCCCACAGACTCAAAATTTTAGAATAATAGTCCAAGCAGTTGTAGGATAAAATTATAGACAGTGAAAGGATACTAGAATACCAGGAATTCTGGTAATATAATTGTCTGCTTGAACCCTACGTTATGTATTTCTCTATCATATAGTAAGTATGAAAGAAGTACACAGAGTATACTTAAGTTTTATGAATTTACCTCAGTTATTCACAAAGTATAAAACCGTTTTAAAATTTTAACATGACTGAAAGATGTGTATGTATACATATATGTGTGTCTATATGTATCTGTAACGTACATGTGTATATATACACATATGTATGTATGTGTGTGTACATATACACATATATAACTTAATGTTCTTTGTTTTTTATCTTATCACTTGAACTTACTGGCCTCTTTCCCCATATTTCTACTTGGTTGTTCCCGTACGTTTTGTTAGCATATCTTTGCTTAAAGAAGATAAACACATGAAGTTAAGATTACAAATGTTAAATCCCTTAGTTAATGGCTAAGGCTCTAGATTCTGGCTTTGGTGTTGGCTAGTTATGAGTCAACTGTGTGTATAAAACATGATTCACTTAGAAATTTTCTTTAGAACAAATTTTGAGAGAATATTTCAGTTTCACAAGCCAAGTAGGTTCATATACAATTTGTGTATTAATAATAGTAATGATAATTGACATTTATGTCATGTTTTATGTTTTACAAAGGGCTTTACGTATAGCATTTCACTTGTACATAGTTGTCTAGCAGCTGACACTGAACAGTGATCAGCGCATAAATAGACTGCATTCAGGGACTTAGCTGATGGCTGATAATATATTTTGTTGAGTTTCTTGAAGTGTTGCTCATAGTTAGACTCTAGTTCCACAAGAATTTAGCCATAGTATATATGGTATGGCAAGATAGTATCAATGGCAGGAACAAAATAGGTATGGGAAGAAGCCCACAGATGTGGTTAAATTGGCATATGCTATATTATTGAGAGAATTTGTGAAATAATTAGTTCCTTAATTTTGGAATGCTGTTAATGGATTTCTGTTAAGCAAAGGATGCTTGTATTGGAGATGCTGTTGTCTAATGTTCATTGACTTCTGCTGGCCCTAACAAAATTTGTTCAACATGCTCTTTGTTGCCTGGAAACATCCAAATTTAATGACCTCCAGAAGGCACCATGTCATCAGCAAACCAAATTCCAATGACTGCATTGTAAAACTTCCATATCATACCTCTAAATTGCTGAGAAATGTTGTGTATTTTTCTGCAAGTACCATAGTTTCATAGCAGACAATTAAGTACCATAAGATTCTGTTTTTCAGTACTGATTTACTATATTTAGGTTTGGTACCATATAGTATCAGTAGTCTGAATTACTGAATTACATTTAACACCTAGGAAGCTCTGTTGGAGGATTTATTTCTTTTCTTCTGCTTTCAAAGCTAATGATATACTATGAAACACATTGTTATTTAAACTAGATCAGTGTGAAAGTAGCCTAGTAAATAAATAATAAATCATTTAATATGAACATGTATTAAACACTGAAATTTCAGGGTGCCTAGACCCTAGTTAATCATTTATTGAGGCATTGTGCGAGTTGTAAAAAATGTCAACGATTTCAGCATGTATGGCATTTTCTACATTATTTTGCTCTTTTTTATATTCTAGTTATTTAAAATATGTGTGATTTGATTCCTCAGTTAGGTTGTAAACTCCAGTAGGGACTGATTTGTATTTCCCTTTTTTCTTGCAGAGCTACTAGTATAGTGCTAAATAAATACTTATTTATTGAATAAGTATCTCAAATTAAAGACCAAAACTATAAAAGTTGTGGATGCTTGTGGTACAGATCCTTTTATTACAACTCATTTTTGTTTATCTTAAACTAATACCCTATTAAGTGTAATGGTTATAGGTGCTAATAATCTATTCTATGCCAAACCCATTTTCATTTTTAATAGAAAACTTTACCAAAACAATTTCCATTTTCATGCAGAAGCAAAAGAATCCCCTTCTAGAGGCTCTCTCTGTGGAATATTTATGGACTTTGCTGCAGCTTCACAGCGACAAATTGTCGGAATCATGCCCTTAAGCAGCGGTGGGTGGCATGAATTTATTTATGCCGTTACAGATTTTTACTAAACTTCTGTTATTCATTTTTTGTCATATTTTTAATACTTAATCACTTAGTACTGATAACCTGATATGAAGTTTGCATTATAATGTCTATAAAATCATGCTGTTGTTGTTCTGTAATTATTCTTTTCCAAATGTAAATTATACTGTGTTAAATTAGAGTATGGTTCTTTTTCAAAGGGTCTCTTGGAGGAAGGTGCCTTTTGAAGGTGAACATTCAGAGGAACATGAATAAACTGACAATTACCTGACTCTTGTGAGGGGTAAAAAATGAGAATGAGGATCACATTATCAAGATCCTCTAAAATAAATGTTTTTTTCCTCTTTATCTGAGTCTCTGTATAGTACATTCCTAAAAAGCATGTTTCCAAAGAATCCTTAGTCAAACAGGAAAACGTGATTTGACAAAAATGAGAACATCATAATAGTATGGCTCCCGTTATGATAGTGACTCTTACAGAATAAAACTGCCTGTCTATTTTTAACCAAGGTGTTCCATTCAGCTTGATCATCTAAGTAATTATGTAGACATTTGCAGTAGAACCACAGTGTAGTCATTCAGCTCTATTTTAAGTGTTATGTCTGTAGGCCACCTCTGGCTCAGTATGGTAACTCAGGTGTGAGATGGAAATTGAATGAGATATTTGTTTATCCATCTAACATTAACAAAAGGGCTTTAACTTAGTCATAGTAGGGAGAACACTCATAGCATTGAAAGGACCCTCAACAAGGATGCAACCTTGATCCAGTTGAGCATGGCTTTCCTGCCTCTTTGTTACCCATGATGATTCAGGGTCAGAAACCTGGGGAGGAACTCCAGTCCCTTGTATCCTGGCTATTTATGTATACATGTATGTGTGTGTGTGTTGTGTGTGTGTGTGTGTGTGTGTGTGTATATGTATATGTATGTATGTGTATGTATATATATATATACACACACACACACACACATACACATATATATGTGTGTGTGTATGTATGTAAGCAACTAATATAAATCTTATGAAATGAGACTACATTGGAATGGGTATCTGCACTTTCCTTTTCTCAGGAGAATTAGGAGACACATAAAGAAAGTATTTTCTTTATGAGGCAGAAGTACATTTGGGATTGTATGTAGGAACCAAGCATTGTGAAATTATGAATTTTCTTCATGTTACTCCTTTTATTGGTAATAGTAAGTATTAAAATTTATTTAAAAATTCCATCTTACAGAAGAAAGAAAATATAATAAAGAGTACATGTAAGATATATAAAAAACAATACAAGATAGAAATAGAGTTTATACAGTATAATTATTGAGTTACTTTAATGCCAAGTTAAGTGCAAAAATAAAATTAATATTCTGATATATCAGTGAAACTTTGTCATCACTCCAAGGTCCCACCCCAAAGTTTGAGATCTTTCAGGAGATCTCAGAACATTACCTAGTAGATATCCAAACTAGTTGCCACTGACACATCCTCCTCTCTGCAGCATGGATTGGAGGGGGAAAGGCTGGAAGGAGGCAGACTAGCTAAGAGGCTATTGAAGTAGTTCCAGGTTAAGGTAAGTAAGGACCAATGTTAGGATGGTGGTCATGGGAATGGAAAGGAAGAGACATTTCCAAGGAAGAATTAGCAGATCAAAGAAAGGAGAGTCTTTGGACATCTCCCAAAGATGATTCAAAGGTTATAAGCTTGGGTAACTGAGAAAATGGTCAGTACAATTAATAGAAATAAGGAAGTCAGGGAGGAACTGGTTTCTTTTGGGGGGGCACATTTAGGGTAGCTAGCAGCGAAAGATTTTGTTTTTAGTAAACATTTATGAAGTGCCTACTACGTGTAAAGGCTTTGTGCTAAATGTTTCATGGAACACTTAGGTAGGACTGTCTACCAGGCAGTTGGAAATAGGGACCTGGCTATGTAGGGAGAGGTTGGGTATATATGTGGGTATACATTTGGGAATCATTGCTGTAAAGGTTGAAATCGTGGGGTAGGAGGAAGTAAGCAAGAGAGGGGGAAAGAAAGGCTGAGGATCAAACCTTGGGAAATGTTCACATTTAGGGAAAGTAATCCAAGGCAGCATGAGGTGATGTGAAGGAACTGGATTATTTCAATTCCAGTCATGCCACTAACGAATTGAATTTAGGTAAGGTTTTTTTAAACATCTTTGGGCCTTAGTTTATTTAACTAGACCATGAAAGGGCTAGATTATATGATATTTAAGATCCCTTCTGTTGTAAAATTCTATCTGCGAAGTAGTATAACTGGGATAATGTAGAAGAGGAGAGCCAAGAGAGTTTCTAGGAGGAGGAAGTTAACAGTGTCAGATATTACTGAGGGGTCAAGGAGATTGAGGCCTGCAGATAATAAAGGCCTTTTATTTGTGGAACAGGAGTCATTGGTAACTTTGGAGAGCAGCTCCAATAGAAGGGTTGAGCAGAAGTCAGGTCAGAAGGGGTTAAGAAGTCATTGGATGCCAGTGAAGCAACATGAATGGCTCTTATAAAAGTTTATTAGTAAAAGGAAGATGAGAAATGAGGCAGTAGCCTAGGGGCATTAGGATCAAGGAAAGGCTTTTTCCTCCTTTTTAATTATTTTTTAAACTAAGAGAGATCTGATTATATTTTTAGGCAAAGGGTGAAGAGCAAGTGGAAAGAGGGAGACTGAGGCTACAAGAGAAGGGGGGTGGGTTATTGATGGAGTCAAAGTCCTAAGGCTGGAAAAGATGTGATAAAGAACATGAGTGGCAAAGTTAGCTTTGATAAGAAGAAACAGTTCTTCTGAGACAGGAGAAAAGGAACAAGAAAAGATCCGTAGGATTTTTTAGATGAAGATGGAAAAAACTGAGAAAATGCTCTCCAGATGATCTCATCTTCTCACTGAAGAGTTTAGCTTTTCTCCTGAGGGTAAGAGAGGTATGGATGGGATTGAGAAGTAAGGTAAAAGATTTGGTAAAAGAATAGCAGCTGTGGAAAATTCAACAGGGAGGTGATAAGTATGATGAGGGTAGCATCTGAGATACTGGAGTAATTCTATGTCTTGTAAATTGAAGTATAGAAATATTAAGGTAAATATTAAAGGCTCGTGAATACTTAAACTATGCTTCTTAATTTTGTGTTCTGTTGTCTAATTCATTTTAAAGGACACGCAGTGCAAAGTTACTTCGACTGATTGACATGGATTTTTCATTTAGTTTTTCTCTCTTGGATCTGCCACCAGTAAATGAGTATGATATGTACATAAGAAACTTTGGTAAAAGAAATACTAAGCAGGTGAGTGTGTATTTTTTTTCAAAAATAAGCTTTATTGGGGCAGCTAGTGGGGCACTGGTCCTGGAGTCAGGAGGATCTGAGTTCAAATGCAGCCTCAGACCAAACACTTGACACGTACTAGCTGTGTGACCCTGGGCAAGTCACTTAACCCCAACTGCCTAAAAAAAAAATTTAAAAAATATGAAAATTAAAAAAATTAAAAATAAGCTTTGTTCATGCCTTATGTTTCTGAATTTTATAGTAATTTCTGAATGAGTCTTCTTCATTGTCCCCTTTTCCTCATTGTAACAAAGAAAGAGTTCTTCAAAAGCTACTACATTAATAATGTTTGATAATTATAACAATAAATATAACATAATATTAATGCCTGCAACATTCTGCCCCCTCTACTTTCTTGTTATTGTTGTTTTTTAGCTCAGAAGGGGAAAGTTTGTTTCCTAATGTCTTCTTTAGGACTTGTATTGGTTTTTACAGTGACTTTGAATTCCTCTTTCTCTTAGTGTTCTTCTCAGTCAAACAGTCAACCAAACTGTCAGTCAACAAGCATTGATTAAGTGTCAGGCACTGTGCTAGATAGGCACTGGGGATTCAAAGACAAAAAGAAGAAACAATCCTTGCTTTTAAGGAGACAACATGTACATATAAAAGTAGATACAGAATTTTATATACACGCATATGTATGTGTGTATATACACATGTCACATTATGTGTGTGTGTGTGTGTGTGTGTATGTATAATATGAAATAAATAAATGGTGCTTGAGCTGCTTCCTGAAGGATGTGAAGGCTTCTGTGAGGTAAGAATGACGAGAGAGTATTATTGTAGTTATTATATCTATGGCATTCCTGATTCTGCTTTTTTCATCCTATGTCATTTCATACATATCTTTCGTGTTTCTCTTAATTCCTCATATTTGTCATTTCTTAGTTTATAATAATATTGTCTACTTTCTTACACCACATTGTATTCAGCCATTCCTCCATTAGTGGAATAAAGCTGGAATTTTGGAAACGTTACTCTCTGTGTTACCAGTGTTTTGTTACCATGATATGTGCATCTGTGAATGTTTTGTTAGAAGTCTATGGCTTATGAAACTAAAAGGCAGAATTAAAATAAAAGATGAATTAAAAATAAATTTACCTTATTGTAACAGAGAGAAAAGCAGGAATTGGGGCAAGTTTCTTTACTTGAAGAATTGTAAATTTGAGAAAATTAAAAGTATTTTTTTCAATATCACAGATGCAAAACTCAACTTCAAGAGGTCAATAAATAGGTTCAGGAAGAGTTTAAATGCCTTTATGAATGATAAGTCCATAATGGATTGAGTAGAAAGCTACTGACATGTTTTCCACAAACATTTCCTGATTAGAAACCAAATGCTTGTCAATGAACCATTAGTCTAAGAGGCAGCAGTGTTACAGTTCTCTCTGAAGAGAACTGGGTTTGAATCCCATATCAGCCACTAGGACTTGGGGCCTATCAAACTGAACCTCTCAGAGCCTAAGGTTCTTCATCTGTAAAATGGGGATGATAAAGCATGTGCCTTTTACTTCAAAGTATTGTTGTAAGGAAAGTTCTTTGTAAACCTTAAAGCATGATGGGTTTTACTATTTTTATTTTATCTTCTGTAAATTCCTATATATTAGTTATCTAGTTTTGTTGAATCTTGATGTAACATTTTCCATATCTAACCCTTTCTCTTCATTCACATCATCAGTACCTCACTTCAGACCCTGATCATCTCTTGCGTGAACCACTGTAGTAGCCTTTTAATTGGTTTTCTCCTTTCTGGTCTCTCTCTTATTATCCATTGTTCATAATGTAATCTTAAAGCTCAGGTCTCATAATTTCTCTCCTACCCAAGAATATTCAGTTGCTTCCTATTGCCTCTTGGATAAAACATAAACTCCTCAGGCTTGAATTCACAACCTGTCTTTCAGCTTTCCATAGCCATTTCATGCATTCCACGTTCCAGCCATACTAGCTTATTTCCTGCTTCCTCACATTGGCTTTCAATGTCTCCCTTTTTTGGCTTTACACGAGCTCTCCCTCATGCCTAATGTTCACTCTCTCCTTCACCTTTCTAGGATCTTTAGGTGCTACTTCCCATGGGGGAACTTTTTCTGGTCATCCTCTGCAATGGTTCTGTTGTCTAGAAATGCTGAGTGAGAGAGTTCGAGGTCATCGATTGTCCTTTCTTGACATTCTGTTATTAAGTATGATTAATGCAGTTCTCTCTCCCCTTTTATTGTACTGGTTTGTTTGGTTCTTTTTTTTTCTTCTTCTAGATTCCATTTAAGGTGAAACACAACGGTTGGGTTTGAATACGCTCTGCTGGGCTTTCAGTTAAGCTACAATAGTAGCAGCGCTCAAGATAATAATACTTAAAAAAACTTATTTCATAGAATCACAGACTTAGAGCTAGAAGGGATTTTAGAGGTTTTCTACTCTTAACTCCCTAACTGAGCCCTAGAGAATTGGAATGACTTGTCTGAGGATATACAAGTAAGTGGTAGGACTGGAACCCAAACCTGGTTCCTACTTCCATCCATCGCTCTTTTTGCCGTGCCATGCTCTATGTGTATGCCACAGTGCACATCCTGTCGTAAGGATCCACTTTATACTTAATAGTCTGGGCTCCCTCTGCCTGTCTAGCCACATCTCCTATTACTTAGCACCATCCTTAGCTTGAGGCACACCAATTTCTTCGCTGTACTCCATGTGACTTGTGCATTCCATCCTCCCTCAGATGCCTTTCCTTTCCTTTCTACCTATCTTGGTTCTCCCTGCCCTTTAAATCCTACCACCCCCATGGAAACCTACCCTGACAGCTCCTTTATCAGTAGTGTTCTCTAACATTCTACTCTAACATTACCACTGCCTTCTATCTCTAATTATTCTCCTAATTTCTCAGTTACTTCATGTGTGCATTTCTCATCTCCTCAATTAGAATATATGCTTTCAGAGGGCAAGAATTATGACTTCTCTTTCTCTTGTGTCAGCTATGGTCTCTATTATGTCTTAAAACTTGAAAAGAGCTATGATTTCATCCATGTGGGTACTTCCGCCACTGATGTGTATTGTTACACATACACACACACACACACACACACACCCTTAGTAGGTGGCTCTTTGTGAGCTGCTGTGTCTAGTAGCTGACCTTCTGATTATGAACACTTGAATCACTTAAGTCTTTGGGTGACAGATGCCTTTGTCAGTCCCTTTCAGGGACCACAGTGGGACCTTCCCTGCTTGTTAGGACCTGCCAGATTTTCTGCTGCCTTGCTGTAGCATTTGAGGAGCCATTATTATCTTCACGCCACCAAGAACCACCAGGATAGTATTTTGGTCAAAGAATGACTGTCATTTAATGATTATTTAATATTAAGTGTATGCTCTGTGTAAGGCACTGATGATACAAAAACAGAACCATGCATGCTTACTGAACTGAATTGAAGTAAGCGTATGAACTGTAAAATATTGACAATTATTATCTCAGTGTCTGATCTTGAGAAAATAAATTATTCAACCTTCTTACTCCTTTTTTCTTGAACCTTCAACTGAATCTTGTTTTTATAAACTCTAAAATGATAGCTTTGTTAGGGGACATACTTTGTAGAATAACAAAAAAATTACACATTTTACTCTAGGTAAAACAGTTGCTAAAGCAGTAATGCACACAAGTTCCAGATAATCTTGAGAATAAAATTTTTATTTTAAAGTTATAAAACAGCTTTCATTAATGTGACTGACAATTTAGTAAAACAAAATTTTCAGATGGGTAAGGCATATGGAAACTGTACCTGGATTTTTTTCCCCCTGTCAAGATTAGTAGGTACTTTGGCTAGACATATAACATATAAACTTATGTGTGAGGTTATGTATGTCTGTATCTATGGCTGCACTGTTTGAAAAAAAAAATACCTTCCCAAACACTATAGGAAGCACTGTGTATCAGCTTTGCAGAACTCAGCCTCTTCGACTGAAGTCATCATTGAATGCCTTATTTTGTTATGGAGCAATGATTCCTTTGTCTGCCCTAATATTATTGGATGAAATTTGATAGAGATAAATATAGAGTCTTACGGTTGTGTTCTAAAAATCAACTTCACAAGTACAGAATGGATCATCTATACCATAGGGAGAAGTGTTTCTGAAAAACATCTAGGAGTTTTAATAGATTGCATACTATGAGTCACCAGAATGTTATGGTAGCCAAGACAATGTTAGGTTGCATTAAGAAAGGCAAAGTGTTCTGATATGTTGCTACATTTGAGGGAAAAAAATTGATTAGCTAGAATTAGAATTAGAAAAAAATTGATTGTCTAGAGGAAGGGCACACAGGATGGTGAGGGGCCTTGAGACTGTGCCACATGAGGATCTTACCCTACCTTGAAAACTGAGCCACAGTGTAGCAGAACCACTGACAGTCCCTACTTTGTTGTAAAGGCTTCTAATATGCGTCTATGTGTCTTTTATTTGAAGACTGACATTGTTAAGTGTAGGAAGGTTCATCACCAGAACACTGGGAATCAGGTGTGGATGTTTGTTGGGACAGCAATCACGGAGGCTGTCTGTTGAGGTGTGGAGGACCGCATATGTATGGGTGGAGGGAGAGTCCATACTAATCATGTCAAATATAAGGAATCGCCATAATATTTAAAAGAATAATTGTAGCTTATTTTTGTACTTAAGGCATATGTTCAGTATAATGAAGATAATGTTGAAAGAGATGTTCAAACTGATGAAATAGAAACCCATGAAGTATGGACCCAACATCCTGGTGAAAGTACCATTGTATCGGGAGGTAAGTAATTTTTTAGTTATGTAAAAGCCTTGAGTTATTTCACATTTATTTTTTTAATGTGCCTTTTCCCTCCCTATAATGTATGTCTTTTAGATAGTTATTATGTTGCTGTCATGGAAAATATTCTTTACTGTTTTAAAGGAATAAGTCATGTGTCTACTTTAAGTTATTCATTTAAATTTTGAAAATTTTAATTTTATAAAATATCATGACTATAGTTAAGTAATGTACACATGGCCATTCAAAGTATGTTCTAACAAGGTATTTCCATGCATTTGTAATAAACAATCTTTTCAACTATGAGTCTTTTGTATGATTGTGGCTCTCTCAATTTCAGGCATGATACTTCATGCAGATAGGGTTATATATAGTGTACTTAAAGTGAATGAAGAGTCACAGGATTGACTTTTTATTTGGAGAACAAAATTTTTGTTCAAGTAATGTATGCCCACTGAAACATTTTGAGATCTTCAATGCCTGTGTAGGAAGGACTTCATGCACTGGGCTGTGTTCAAGACAGTAAATAATCATTTTCCCTGGCCAACCTTTTTAAATAGAAGTCAAGTGTAGGCCTTTCGTGAGGTATATATTACATGTACGTACATGCTTACAGTCAACCCAGTACCCCCTCCAAGGCTTTCACAGGAAGTGTCCCAGCTGTCAAAAGGACTTCTCAGCCTCTTCCTGATGGATTTAAGGCTAAGAGGATTTAATAGCACTCTGGGATCAGAGCAACTGTTTAGTACTATTTTAGGTATAGTATGAGTTGAATCTTCCACTCAAATCTTTCTATTATGCATATTTCTGGTATTTAGGTAGGTGACCCTGTGTTCTAGAAAGCAGCTAAGAGAAAGCTCTTGGCAGCTGCTAACAATTTGCAAAGGCTTCAGGTACGAGCTTAATGACGGACCATATATCTGCTGAGGACCAGGCTAGTTAAGTTTAGAGAGACAATCACCGGGTTGATTGTAGGATGAAACATTTTTTGGCAATAGCAACTGTTAAATAGGAGAGGTTGGAAGGATCCAGATTCATAAAATCACAGATCCTTTGAGAATTAATATAAATATAAATTACATAGACTTTTGTGAGCTACCCTGGAACTTATTTATAACGTTGCTTCTGCGTAGTACAAGTTCCCTCCTTCCCTGCCACAAACATTTGTTAAGCATCTACTGTATTGTTAAGCATTGTCATGTATGCAGACCTGAAGAGGATTCAAGCATGGGTTCCATGACAGACTATATGTCTTTTGTCTGAGAACTGGCTTAGCTTAGTCTGGAGAGACTCACCCTCAAATTGGCTGCGGGATAATGAATTTTTTGGCTATGGCAACTCCAAAGACTAACTATCGAGCAGCATAGGGTCTTGATATGCATTGATAGAAAGACCATGCACATTGATAGAGTCCCAGATTCCTGAAGTTCAGAGCATCCCATTAGCTGCTGAAGAAGATGCAGCGTTTAGCTCAGACAATAGTCCTTGCCCTCACAGAGCTTAGAGATGGGCTGGAATTGGGGGTAAGATACAAAATTACATGACTGAAATATACAGCATTTAAAGTGCAGCAGTTGTAAAACAAAGTGCTAATGTGATGTCTGATTGGGTGTCTATCCGCCAGGGGAATCAGAGCCTGTTTCATGGGAAAAGGTAGCATTTACCTTAGAATTTAAAAACTGGGTAGGGATTCAAGAGGTAATGAGGGAGAGATGTTCCAAGCTTTGTAGATACCTCCTGTAGTAAATTTAAAATGGAATCCAATAGGATGCAAATTTGGGGGAGTATATTATGTATAGAAATGGGAGGGTATGAAAAATCATTAATTTCTTGTTCTTATGACTGTAAATGTGTATCTTAGATTTACATAGCTTTTAAAAGCACTTGGCCATATGTTATCTCATTTTATCGTTACATACTCATGTAAAAAAGCAGACCGGTATTATATCTGTTTTGTAGGTGGAGATTTTGAGGCTTTGAGAAGTTGTGACCTGTCCAGGGTCATATGGCTAGTGTGTCAAGGAAATGGAACTAAAATAGCTTAGTGCCCTTCACACTTTGTCATGTTGCCTTCCACAAGCCAACTTAAAAATGAGCTTTTGGAATGCAGCCTAGTCATAAACTGGGTATAGCTATACTCCTTTGTGTCAATTATTTCATTTTCAGTGTTATTTTAAAATAAATCAATCGATATCCATTAAAGCCTCAAGAATTCCTGGCGTTATACTAGGTGCTGATCCTTATTATGCAGGTATAATTGAAATTGCTTACTCACTTTTAATTCCTCAGCATATTCCTGTGAGGGAAGGAAATTATCACTATCTTCCCTTATAAAGATGAAAGCTAATTTCTGAAAGGTAATATACAAACATATAAATTTATGAAAGAGATAAATTAATAGTAACTGTTTTGTAAAAGGAATCACTATAGGCATCTTTAAATAATTAGCTTCCTTAGCACATTTAAAATAGAATTAAATTTACAAAAAATAAATTTTCAGTCATACAAAATAGCACCTCATTTTGATCCTTCCGCTGATTAGCTGTGTGATGACAGGCAAGTCACTTTACTTTCCTTTGTCTTCATTAATTTACTATACCAGTGGATAAATCATACCTGCATTAACTCACACAAGTCTTGTGTGATGATCAAATAAGATAAGCTGTGAAGTGCTATATGCATGCCATCTGTATTATTATTATACTTTAATACTTTAGGGATCTGTAATTTGATACATGTGTTTGTACTCCATGTACTGGTGTATATCACACCCCCAACCCCACCTGTGCCTTAGTATATGGTTTAACAAGTTGCTGTGGCCAGACAAGTTCCCCCAGCGACCTTCTGGTCATGAGCTTCTTTGAATTTAGCTGGACAGCCAGTCAGATGTCAGAGGCACAGTCTGCCACACCAGCCCTGGGGTTACCTTATCTCTATATGGGACATCATCCACCTTAGTCGATAATGATGTTGGTACTCATATGACCAGAGGCATGTATGGAAGAATTAGCATGGAGTGTGTGTATGGAGAGGCAACATTGGGTAGTGGATAGATAACAGCTTCAAAGTCATGAAGACCTATGTGCAAGCCCCACGCCTGAGATCTTCTGGCTTTGTGACCCTGAGCAATTCAGTTATCTCAGAGGTGGGACTTCTAATCTGCACTGATGAGGAAGTTTCCTCACAGGAGCTGCCTGTACCAATGAAATCACAGGTCTGGTTAAAAAAATACATCTGCAGAACCTGAAGTAAAATATGTATAATATGTCATTAGCAGATTTAGAAATTTATGACCTATTTCCTGACAGCTTTTTAGTTACTTTGTTGTTATTGTTGTCATTGTTGTTGTTCAGTTATTTTCAGTTGTGGCTGACTCTCTGTGAACCCGTTTGGAGTTTTTTGGTAAAGACACTAGAGTAGTTTGCCGTTTCCTTCTCCAGCGTATTTGATAGATGAGAAAACTGAGGCAAACAGGGTTAAGTGACCTGCTTAGGGTCACACAGCTAGTAAGTGTCTGAGGCCAGATTTGAGCTAGAGAGGACTCCAGGCCCGGCACTCTGTCCACTGTACTAATCTAGATGCCCAAAATTTTACACACCTTCAAGCTGGAAGTTTTAGTTACTAAAATCTTTTAAATCACAATGTGCCTCTTAAAGATTGTTCTTATCATTTTGTGGTATAGAAATACTAGTAATTATAATAATTGTAATAATAATTAGCATTACCTAATTTTTTTTTCAGGTACTAAAAACAGCAGAGATATATCTGATGGTACATATGTAACAAAGATTGACACACCAAGGTTAGCTAGTTTTCTCCGGGCTGCTTGTCAGGTATAGTCAATGTTCTACAAATGTTTGTGCTTACGGTGTATGGGGAAAGGTTAAATACCTGGGCTGTCTGTGTTGCCTAAGACAAACCTTAAGAAAAATGATGATTAATATAGTATATATTAAATATTTCTGTATATGTGACACCGTTCAAGCTGCTTTACATTTTGTATGTAGTTTACAAGAAAGTAAAATGGCAAAGACACGATCTATTATTATTTGTTTTGTATGTTCTGAAGTTAACATAAACAAAAATGTTATGGTGTATTATTTATAGCTAATAAACATAGCAATGAAAGAAAAATAAGACAGTAATACTTTATTATTTCATGCCTTATAGTTATGGGTATTTGGATAAAGTATGGTGGAGTCTTCCACCAGATCTCACCACACAAAATAAAGTAACAACTAATAGAGCACACTTAACTTCAAGGATCTAGCACCATTGTCATAAAGGGTTTTTTTTTTGTATATTCATTTTTTTTTAGGCAGCTGGGGTTAAGTGACTTGCCCAGGGTCACACAGCTAGTAAGTGTCAGGTGTGTGGTCTGAGGTCGGATTTGAACTCAGGTCCTCCTGACTTCTAGCTGCCCCTTGTATATTCATTTTGAAGATTTTACATGTTTTGATATGTATTTTTTGGTTATACCAGGTCCCATTTAGCTTCTTGGGGAGTTCAGAGAGAAAATTAAATTGAGACTGGGATGAGCAGAAGAAATCAAATGGGTTATAGTAGGATATGAGGGAGAAAGGTGTAGGTGACAAGGTAAAAATGTAACAGGTCATGTTGAAGGTAGAGTATTTGGTCTTACCCCTTTGTTCTTTATCTCCTACATCCATTCCATCACTAAATCATATCAGTTTTTTTTTCCAGATGTCTCTCAGATTCATCCTTTCCTTTTCACTTACCATTTCTCAATTAAATTACTGAATCAGTCTTCTAACAGGACTTTTTGATTCTGAGATTTTTCTTTTCCAATCCATTCTCCTATTGTTGCCAGATTAATATTCCTAAAGCACTGCATGAATGAAAAATGTTAATTGCGCTCATACTATATGCAAAGTACCAGGGATACGATTAGGAAAGCCAGGCTTAGTTTTAGGAAAGCTGCTTTCCGGGAGCTAACATGCTAATGGAGGAGACAACACATATGGGAGGTTTCATCTGCAGGTCAGTAGGAAGGCCCAGGGGTTCTTATGATGCAGCAGTACAGCAGATTATTTAATTATGGTACTTCCTAGCATAAGAATTTATAGTAGGGCCCTGTTATCTACCACCTTAGTTCTCTGTTTAGCTTTCAAGGCCTTCATAATTTGGTCCCACTCTGCTCATCCACCTTATCTCTTTCTACTTGTAATATAATTTTTAGAGGGCACCACTCAGTGAGGAGCATGTTTGAATCCAAGGCAAACCATTCAACATTGCAATGATATAAGTCTATGTTCCAACTGTTCCAAAGAGGCCAAAGTTGATCAGTTCTATGAAGACCTACAATGTCTTCTAGAAATATCATCAGAAAAAGATGTCTCATTTATCATAGGAGATGAGAGTGCTGAAGTAGGAAATCAGAAGATAATTGGAATAACAGGAAAGTTTGGCCGTGTAGTACAGAATGAAGCAGGGCAGAGACAGAGAGTGTTTTGTGAAGATAACGCGCTGGTCATAGCAAACACACTTTTTCAACAGTCCAAAAGGCAATTCTATACATGGACATCACCAGATGGTCAGTATCAAAATCAGATTGATTTCATACCATGCAGCCAAAGAGGGAGAAGCTCCATATAGTCAATTAAAACAAAACCTGGTGCTAACTGTGGTTCAGATCATGAGCTTTTTATTGCAAAATTCAGACTTAATTTGAAGAAAATAGGGAAATCCATCTGTTCATATGTTGTTGTTGTTGTTCAGTTGTTCAGTCGTATCTGACTCTTCTTGACCCCATGGACCACAGCATACCAGACCGTTCTGTCCTCCCCTGTCTCCTGAAGTCTGTTCAAGTTCATATTCATTGCTTCCATGACACCATCTATCCATCTTATCCTTCTCCTTTTGTGTTCATTGTTTCCCAACATCAGTGTCTTTTTCAGTGATCTTGTCTTCTCATTATGTGGTCAGAGTATCTGTCCTTCCAATAAGTAGTCTGAATTGATTTCTTCAGGTGTTGACTAATTTGATTTCCTTGCTGTCCAAAGGACTGTCAGAAGTCTTCTCTGACACCACAGTTTGAAAGCATCTATTCTGCAGTGTTCAACCTTCCTTATAGTCCGACTCTTGTAGCCATACATAGCTACCAGAAAAACCATAGCTTTGACTATCTGGATCTTTGTTAGCAAGGTGATGTCTCTGCTTTTTGGTATGCTGTGCAGATTTGCCATTTCCAAGGAGCAAGGGTCTTTTAATTGCATAATTACAGTTGGCATCTTCAATGGTCTTTGAACCCAAGAATATAAAATCTGACGCCACTTCCATTTCTTGCGTTTATTTAGGATGTTTTTTGTCACTGCATCCTGTACAATATTGCGAAGCTCTATCCATAGTTCTTCAGGTACTCTTATCTATCAGATATAATTCCTTAAATCTTTCATCACTTCAACTGCATATTCATAAAGAATTTTATTTAGGTCATCCCAAGAAAAAGAAGAGCAAAGAAGTAAAATAGCTGTCTGATGAGGCTTTACAAATAGCTGAGGAAAGAAGGAAAGTGAAAGGAAAAAGAGAACTGAATGCAGAATTCCAGAGAATAGCAAGGAGAGATAAGAAGGTTTTTTTGAATGACTAATGCAAACAAATAGAAGAAAACAATAGAATGAGAAAGGTAAGACTTGATCTCTTCAAGAAAATTAGAGATATCAGAGGAACATTTCATGCAAAAATGGACACAATAAAAGACAAATATGGTAGGGACTTAACAGAAGAAGAGACTAGGAAGTGGTAGCTGATTCCAAAGGAAGATGCTGTACACTTCAAGAGAATTGATGGAGTCTTAATATAGATGGAAGCATATTCTTTTTTACCTTATTTTTCTCATGGTTATTTTTTTTTCTTTTGGTTTGTGTTTCTTTCATAACATGACCAATATGGAAAGATGTTTTGCATGAGTGTACATGTATAAATTGCTTACCATTTCAGAGAGGGAGAGAACTTAGAACTCAAAAAAGTTTTTTTAAATGAATATAAAAAAGTGTATTTACATGTAATAAGGAAAAATAAAATATTATTTTAAAAAAAGAAGAGGTAGCAAGAATATGTAGAACTCTACAAGAAAGATCTTAACATCACTGATAACCATGATGGTGTGGTTACTGATCTAGAGCCAGACTTCCTGGAGAGTGAAGTTAGGAAGCATTGCTCTTTAAAATTTTAAAAGACAATGCATTTAAAGTGCTGCACTCAATATGCCAGCTGGTTTGGAAAATACAATAGTGGCCACTGGATTGGAAAAGAGCAGTTTAATATCCCAGTCCTAAAGAAGGGCAATACCAAAGAGTGTTCGAATTACCAAACAATTGCACTCATTTCACATGCCACCAAGGTTATTCTTAAAATTCTATAATCTAGGCTTCGGCAGTATGTGAATTGAGAATTACCAGAATTATAGGTTGGTTTTTGAAGAGGCAGAGGAACTAGAGATCAAATTGCCAACATTCACTGGATTATGGAGAAAGTAAGGGAGTTCTAAAAAAAATAAATCTACTTCTGCTTCATTGACCAAACTAAAGCCTTTGACTGTGTGGATCACAAGAAAATGTAGGAAATCTTCAAAGAGATGGGAGTACCAGATCATTTCGCTTGTCTCTTGAGAAACCTGTGTGCCAGTCAAGAAGCAGTTGTTAGAACTGAATGTGGAACAGCTGATTGTTTAAGATGAGAAAGGCATATAAGAAGCTGTATAGTTGTCACCTTATTTATTTAACTTATATGCAGAGCAGCACATCATGAGAAATGCCAGGCTGGATGAATCAAAAGCTGGAATTAAGGTTGCTGAGAGATCAACAATCTCAGTGATACAGATGATACCACTCTGATGGCAGAAAATGAAGAAGAATTAAGAAGCCCCTTGATAAAGGTGAAAGAGGAGAGTGTTAAAGCTGTTTCAAAGTTTAACATTGAAAACAGCAACTGGTCCCATCACTTCCTGGCAAATAGAGACAAAAAGGAAGCAATGCCAGACTTTATATTTTCGGGCTCAGAAATTCCTGCAGATGGCAACTATGGCCATGAAGTTAAAAGACACTTGTTCCTTGGAAGGAAAGCTATGGCAGATCTGGACCGCATACTGAAAAGCAGAGACATTACCGACAAAGTTCTAGATGTTATGGTTTTTCCAGTAGAAATGTATGGCTGTAAGAGCTGGATTATAAAGAAAGGGGAATGCCACAGAATCAGCGCTTTTGAATTGTGGTGCAGAAGACTTTTGAGAGTCCCTTGGACAATGAGGAGATCAAATCAGTCAATATTTAAAGAAATCAATTCAGACTACTTATTGGAAGGACAGATACTGAAGCTGAAGCTTAAATACTTTGCCACATAACAGGAAGACAAAATTCATTGGAAAAGATCCTGATGTTGGAAAAGATTGAAAGCAAAAGGAGGAGGGGACGGCAGAGGATAAGGTGGATAGATGGTGTCATGGAAGCAATGAACATGAGCTTGGACGGATTTTGGGAGATAGTAGATGATAGAAGGCCTAGTGTGCTGTGATCCATAGGGTCACAAAGAGTTGGACATGACTGAGTGAATGAACACTCCCTTTAACAGCGTAGACCAGCAACTGTTCTGAAGCTTATGGTCTTAGAGAGTTACCTAGGATACTGAGAGTTGTTAAATGTCTGCTGTGTTTTGACCACCATTTTAGGGAATGGTAGAGATACAAATTAAGTCAGACATGGTATCTAGCCACATGGAGCTTAGCTCGTAGACTTACTGTTTCTTCAAAGGAGGACTTTGTTGTATGTTTTTAACCAAAAGATTAAATAAATGAGATGTGGGCCCTAATCACAGAAGCTTATAGTCTCATAGGAGAATAAAACACATATTCTAAAACTATAGTATAACACATGGTAAATGCTTAAGAGGGGTATAACTTAAATGCTCTGGGAGGTCTGAAGAGAGAATGGTCATTTCTCAGTGCATATGATCCATGGAGGCAAATGTGCTGTTGTGGAATGATCACTGATTAATTGTATGTTATTATCACATCTCAACTTTTCTCTTTAAATGATGCCTGTGTATATGATTAAATATCTCTAAAACATTGGTATGAAAATATGGCACTTGTCATATTTAAGATATGAATTATAGAGGGTGCATGATACATATTTTTATACCTTCTACTTCACTTCAGAGCAGACAGGACCCTGTCTCCTCTCTAGCCTTTTCAGACTAGAAATGTTATTTTTAGCAATTCAATAAAATTCCACAAATATTGACTATGTACTACATGGAGAGCCCTGTGTTAGGCATTGGGGACAATATTCAGTTGGAGTAAGATTATTCCTGCTCTTAATGGAGCTAACAGTGAAGTAGGAAGATAAGCCACATAGGGTGATTACTATAATAATATATGACAATACAAGTCAAGCACAATAGAGTGCTACAAAGCAAATGCTGTGTTAATTACAGCACATTCTCCTGTAACAAAATAATTTAAATAGCCTATAATGTTGCAGTCATTTTAAATCAACTTCAACTACTCTCCAGAAATAGCAGAAAATTAACTTTTTAAACTATTGGACTGATTTAACTATTGAAATATGATTTTAACCAACAAATTTTCAGGGTGGAAAAATGTAAAATAATTTTCAAGGAAAAATCAACAAATGTGAAAATTCCATATTTAAAAAACATCATTTTTTGTGTTGGACAGGTGATTGCTGTATTACTTGAGGAAGATCGTGCTGCAACTGAACCCAGTTGGAATCTCAGGTCTCAAGAAAATGCCCTTAATATTAGTGAAAGCTGTGCCCAGATGAACACTAACCTACCATTCCTACAAAGTAAGACTTTATTGTGTGTCCTTCATCTAATAAGCGATATGATCAGTCAGTGATGAATAGTTTAGGTTTGGAGAACAGATGACTTGAGTGGTGCCAGAGGGGGCATTTGATAGCTGGCTTCAAGTATTTGAAAGGCTGTTATATGGAAAAAGGGATTCAGTTTATCCTGAATAGCTCCAGAAGGCAGAACTAATAACAACTGATGAAAGATAGGGTTTTGCTCAGTATGAGGGAGATTTTTATTAACAATTACAGCTGCCCCAGAAGTAAGGTGACAGTTCACCCAAAGCCACAGTCATTTTCAAGCTAAGACTGAGTGACACCTACCTCTTAGGAATGTTACAGAGGGGACACTGAATGTAGACATTCAGTAGTAAGTAAGAGTAGATTATCTCTAAGGTCTTTTATATCACTTGAGATTTTATGATTGTCTGAATCAAGAATGTCCTTTCAGAGACCGAATTGGTCACCAGCATGGCATTAAACTCCAGATTCAACTGAAAGTCTCTGAAGCATTGGTTTTCTGTAGCCTTCTATATATTTGTGAAACCTAGATCTACAACAGCTGCTAGCAGTGTGCCAAATTGTCATTACAAAACATGAAAAACTTGTTTATAGCAATATGATATTCAAATGTAAAGTGCTTTGCAGGCTTTAAAATGCTCTATTAATTAGATTAGGTAAAACATTTATTAAGCAGTTTAGGCATGATGCAAAATAAAAATGTGGATTATGTTATTTTTCTTATTATACAGAATTGATGTTCATAAACAGAAGAAATGTTTTAAGAAAGCCCTAATTTCACAGGGAAATTTGTAGAATTATTAGATTGGGGATCATCTGAAACAGTCCTTTCATTTTACAGATTAGGAAACTGAGACCCAGGTGTGAAGTGAAGTGAAGTGCCATTGCTATAGAGATAATTCAGAGCAGATATAAGATTGGAGCCCAAATCTGACTGTTCCTCAAGCACTCCTTTTGTACCACTTGTACCACATCATACCACGCAATCTTTCATGTCACCTGATGTCTCTTTCAGTTCTACTACGCTAAGATTCTGTGAAAGGACAGTACCTCACACGATGGCTTGTCTGTGTATTTTTGGGAAACTAATGAAGTTTCTCTTTTTGAACAGAGATTTCAGACCAACTGAAGTGATAGTTCTATTAAGTTTTATTTCATGATTGAACCTGTTTGAATGTAAATGTCTTCTGCATAAGGATTATTTTGGTTTGCTCTTTTTATCCCCAGTGCCTACCCAAGTACCTTGCATATAGTTAATGCCTTAGTAGTTAGTTTATTGAATTGATTTGGAGTGAACATAATGGAAAAAACCCAGAATGTTTATTCAGCCATACTTATATAGCCGCAATTACACCATAAACATTGAACTTTTCACCGTTTTGATATTTTAAGTTAGCTTTGATTAAATAGGGATTTTATTTCAGCAACCTACTTTTCACTTGAATGAAATTTTTCCTTCATTTCTTCCCTAGATCGAAAAGTGTCCTCTTTACATGTTTCTGAAATTCAGAGACAAACTTTAGTTTCTGTTCATGAGTTACCTGAAAAGCCGTTCTCTGATATACTGGATAAAAGATATATTCTCTGTGTATGGGACATTTGGCAGCCTTCCAGCCCTCAGAAAATTTTAATCTGTGAATCAAAGGTACAGTTAAGGGTTGATCTTTTCAGTCTGGGAACTGTGTACTTATCAGCCAAAAGGATGAACATGGAGGGCTTTGTAATTCATTGAGTTGGACATGGATTGATGAGAAAGGGGAGCAGAAAAGAAAGAAAAAATCATGGGAATAAAGTGCATCAGAGAGTATTTTAAAAAGTGAAAGGAGAGGGTAAGAAAAAGTTTGTGTTTTTTGTTAGACACTGAGATATAAAAGATGGTTTCAGTGCCCCACTGATTGTCTGCTTCATAAACTTATAAGTGAAGTAGAATGATAGTTTCCCTACTCAGTGGTTCAGTTCGGGAAAACCAACTTTGTTCTATTATTGGAGGAAGTGGTTGTCTGAAGGTAGTTCCTATGGTCAAGGAAGATTATTTGAAAAGCTTGAACTTCGCGCTTGAGAAAAACATTTTTCAAACTGACTATGGTCTTAGAACCATCTATTGTATTCTTTTATTTGGTTTGGACTATGGCTACTCTATATGTTGTTAATATCTTTAGACCTTTTGGAAATTAAAAAAAACTGGAGTGTTTCTGCTACTATTGCAATTAAGAGGTTATGGATTTTCCCTTGAAGATTATTATCTTAAGAATTTTTTTGCCTACCTCTTGATAGAGATTTGCTTTGAAGATCCTCAGGATACAGTTTAAGGCATACTTTTCAAGAGTCAGTCAGTCAAGAAACATTTATTAAGCACCTACTATGTGCCAGACACTGTAGTGGTGCTGAAAATACTAAGAAAGGCAAAAGGCAATCCCTGTTGTCAGTGGGCTCACTGTCTAATAGGGGAGACCGTATACAAACAGCTATGTATAAACAAGCTGCGTGTGGGATAAACTGGAGATAATCAACAGAGGGGAGAATTAGTAATTAAGATTAAGGGGATCAGGAAAGGTTTCCTGTAGAAGGTGGAAAATTTAGCTGTTACTTGAAGGAAGCCAGAGAAGCCAGGAGGCAGAGTTGAGGTGGAGAGCATTCTAAACATGGAGGATAACCATTGAAAGTGTCTAGAGTTAGAAGATAAAGAGTTTTCTGCAAGGAATAGCAAAGAGGCCAGTGTTTGGTTTGCAGAGTATGGAAGGGGGTGGAAATATAAGCTATAAGAAGATTAGAAATGTGTGTGTGGGGGTAGGTTTTGAAGGACTTACTTACTGTTTCTCAAGATTTGGGTTGAGAAAAGGGAAATTTTAAAATTATTTTGCTCCTTCTTTCCCTTTTCTTCCAAACTAGAGCTCCTGCCTAAGAATAATTTATTTAGTAATTAGTTGTCAAGGATTGAAAATATATTCTGTAATACAAACACTTACTATAAATAAAATGGTGGGAGTGGGAAAAGGAAAGTCAAGTAAGTCAGTTATGTAGGAAGAGGCTACTGCAAAAGTTTCTGCAGCTCAGCAAAAAACAAGGTTATGTTTTCTTTGTAGTTTTAGGACAGTTCAATTATTGTAGTTTCTTTTCTTGGTTTTCTTGAAAGGTCATGTGCTGCTGTTTTAGCCCTTTTAAAGCAATTTTACTATTTGCTGGAACAATCCATGGCTCAGTAGTTTTGTGGGATCTACGAGAGGACTCCAGGATGCATCACTACGTAAAATTAAAAGATTGTGTTTGGACATTCAGAACAGCAACATTTTCTACTGGTCAGTAGTTTCGATTTTCTTTTCAAGAAATGGTATACACACACACACATATACATAAACATATATACACATAATATCGTTCTATTATATACTATCATTATACTATTGTAGTGTATATGCTATTGTCAGTATACTATTATACTATCATTATACTGTTACTATAGTTTATATGTGTATATATACTATATATGATATATATTTTTTAAGTTAACTTATTTACCAGTGTTCAGTCAAATCTGCTTACAAATTATGTCTTAGAATGTGTGGAAGTAACTTGGGATTCTAAGAGGTGGAGATGAGAACAGAGTACCTTTCAGGCATGGATGAAAGCATGGAGATAGGAAATGGAATGTCATCTGGGATAAGCAGCAAAAAGGACAGTTTATCTGGACTGAAGAGTTTGTGAAGAAGAGTATATAGTGTATAATAGTGCTGGGAAAGTATGTTGAAGTTAGGTTGTAAAAATATATTTTTAAAAACAAATTAAGTCTAGCTGAGTATTGATTTCATCTGATGATCATTAAGTAGAGTATGCCTTTGGTGACGTGTTTAGTCATTCCCAACTCCTTAGCAATACCCTTAGAACTCTGAGGAGAGATGCAGTGGCTTCCCTCTGGAGACTCCCCTGCCAGTGTAAATGTGAGTTGGGAGAATATTTCAGAAACCTGGTGACACATGGATGATGACTCAGCAAAAGAAACTGAATTACAGGGCTTGATAGATGAGCCAAGAACCATTCAGAAGGACAGGGTTGTCTCCTTTCCCAAACCACCTTGTATTCATTTTGTATATATTATGTGTATATATGTATAATGTTTATATCTATATATCTACACACATAGTATATATATATATATATATATATACACACATATTAAACAAATATATGCTCTAGATAGCATATGTACATATATTATCTAGAGATTATATATATTCATGTTGTCTCACCCATTAGAATTTAAGTTCCTAGAGGGCAGGGACTTATTTCGCTTTTGTACTTGAATCTCCAAGGCTTGGCGCAGTGCCTGACACACTGTAAGTGCTTAATAAATGTTGTATTGAGTGATGCCGGTGAAGCACATGAGCATCACTGTTGCTATATGACTGGCTTACCTCTTCTTTCTGACATACATACCGATTGAATAAACTCAACATTAGCAATTTTAAGACACTTAGACATGTCAAAGGACTCTAGAATATCATTATGAACATTTATTATGATGGTAAAGTATTGTGGCTATAGAAGGCCAGGAGATTTGACTTTCCTGCTCTCAGCTTGTGCCTTTATCATTTGTCTCTTTGGCCCAGTGCGAAAAAGAATTCCAGTTACTTTAGGGTTGTATGGATTCTTTGTAAATGGCCATTTACTGTATTTTCTCTTGTGTCCAATATTCACCAGAGGCTGGATTGTCGCAGTTTCAGGTTTTATGCAGAAATAGAACTTTTCACATATCTCTCTCCCGGAACAACAGTCACTAAGGGATTTACTCCTTAGGCTTCAGCTTCACTGGGAAGAAATCGGGCTCAAAATAACATTGTAAAGTGACCTCTACTAACTCTTTTGAAATTTCTATCTATTTTCTTTGTCCAGGAAAAAAAATTTTTGTAGTCTTTACGCAGTGAAATTGATGTCTGGGTGTGAATAATGTATTTCACTCTTTTCTGCTCATTAAATGATAACTAGTTAATTGTCATAAATGATGCTTACTGAGTTGCTTTCATTTGGGGGACAAAAATTATCCGTCTTTAAAAAAATTTTCCAATTTTTTCCTTCCTGAGTTTTAGTGGTTATTCTCTTTGTTTCTAATGGAACTTGAAAGTAATATGTCTCTGTTTACTTGCTGCTTGATTTTCCACATCATTAATAATTCAGCATTATAGATTGAGTCTTAATGTTGCATTAATACTGTTTATGTGCAACTGCTGTTGTAGCCAAGTGTAATACAGGTAGTTTAATTATAAAAGGAGTCTTGGTTATATTTTAAATGTGATTATTTGTAAAAATATAATCACTTAAAACAATGTAATCATTTAAATATAGTACAAAAGCATAGTTCTTTATTTATTGGGAATATAGTAATTTGTGAGATTTTTTTCTTCCTGTTTTTAGTAAATATGCATCTTTGTTAGGTATTCAGATGCCTGATAAATCTGATGATTGTATAAAAGAAGCTTGCTATATCACTACACACTGAATGTATGCTGCAGAACTGTGCTATAGATGAGGCTAAGCTCTACAGAAGTACTTCTAGTTAATTAATTAGATCTTCTAATTAATTAATTAGATCAATTAATCCATTCTCTAATGAATCCATCTCACATGAGTTTCAAGGGAGACCTGAGTTATTCCATATTCACAACTGGAACAGATTCTAATACAGTAAATTTCCAGTCCATATACAGTGTATCCCAAAAGTCTTGCTGCAGTTTTAAGCTTTGATAAGCTTGTATGTCAGCCTTATTTAAAAAGTATATTAAAACTACTAGTTTTATGATTATATCTGTTTACATTGTTCAAATACATTGGTTTGTTTAACATTTTTTTCTAGAACCGTCATCTTATCCTCCACCCTCTCTCTGTCACTATGCTCAGTGACTGTTATTCATCTTTCTTCTAAAAGAAAGTTAGTTGAGTTCCTTGAACTCATTTCCTGTAATCAACAATTCCACTCTGCTTCAGGTGCCAACTAGGGTGATTAACTTTCAACTTCACCCTTATTTGAAATTGCCATACATTCAGGATAATCAGCTCTGAAATGCTCCTCTCACATCACAGTCTCTTGTCCTGCCTCTTCCAGTTCCTTATTCCTATGCCTGTTTTTTTACCTCATTATGACCTTTAAATTTCCTTGATTTTTCCATATTGTCCCGTTTTCTCAGTGTTATTTTGGCTTTATTTCCTTTTCTACTCTGCTTTGACTCAGTGGCCAACCATTTTAATATTGCTGTGCTTTCCATACTTGAATTCCTTGTCTCCTTGACCTTTTGTTCTTTTTGACCTTAAAACTTTGAACACTGAATAAATTCACCCTCTTCTCAGCTTCTGAGCAGCTAAAAGCTTTTGGAGGAAATAATAAAACACTGCACACTAGGCCCACTGTAAATTTATGCTATGTAATATAAACTGGTTTGCATGACAGTCCTGTTATTTATCTCTGGTGATTTCACATTCACCACAAACAGCTCTTTAAAAACATTTAAAATGCAAGCTCCCTTGTAAGTTTCCTGAGAACCTTGTTTCTGCATCACATGTATGTTTGCATCTATAGGCCCTAGGGTGGTGCCTTGCCTATTATAGTAGGCATTTAATAAATGTTTTCCAAATTGAATAAAAAAGTTGTCTCAAGTGAACTTGTGCTTGATAACTTTACTAAATTTTTCACATTCTCTAGAAGTTTATAAACGTTAAGTATTAAATTGGTTTGATCAATACAGCTTTGAGCAACATAGGTGAAAATAATGGTATAATTAGATTGGTGGAGAGAAAATGTGGGAAATTATTAATCCAATGGAATTGAATGAAATAATATTTTGCTAAAAGGAAATGGGAATTAGGGAAGTGTATACATGTATCACTAAATCAAGCAAGCAAGCATTCATTACAGCTAGGTGGTTCAGTGGTTAGAGTTCTGGACTCGGAGCCAGGGAGAGCAGAGTTAAAAATCCTGCCTCAGATGCCTACTAGCTGTGAGACCTTGGGCAACTCACTTAACCTGTCTCAGCCTCATTTTCTTAGCACCTTCATAGGGTTGTTGTGAAGATTAGACAACATGTAAAGTGCTTTGCAAACCTTAAAATGCTGTGTTAATGCTAGATATTCTTCACTGTGATAGATGCTGGGGATACAAAGACAAAAACAGTAGTGTCTGGCCTCAAGAAGCTTACATTTTATCAGGGAAACCACTTCTCTGTATATAAGTAAATGCCCACCATATAAAAAAATAAATAAAAAGTAATTTTAGGAGAAAAGGCCCAATGTAGGAAGGGGTACTTGAGCAAAAGTTGGAAGAACATTGGAGATTTGAAGAAGTAGAGGTGAAGAGTTAATGCATTTTAGGCATGGGAGACACTCTGTGAAGAGGCATCAGGATAGCGGGTGGAATGTCAGACATGAGAACACCACATAGCCCAGTTTGACTGGGTTATTGAATGGGAGTAATGTGTATTAAGACAGGAGAGGCAAGCTGGAGCCAGTTGTGAAAGGCGTTAAATTCCAAAGGAAGGAGTTTGTATTTTATCCTTACATAGCCCCTCGAGTTTTTAGAACAGCAGGATGACATATTCAGACCCATCCTTTAGGAATATCATTATTTGTAGTTGTATGGAGAATGAATTGGGGTAGGGAGAGACTTGATCTGGTAAAGCAACCGGGCAGTAGTCCAGGCAGGAGGACTTGAGTTACATGATGAAAAAATACTATCCACATCCAGAGAGAACTGATGAACTCCAAGTTCAGATTGAAGTATAATATTTTCTCTCTCTCTTTTGCAATGTGGTTAATATGCCTGATTTCACAGGCATAATTGATATCATTTGCTTAACTTCTCAGTGGGTGTGGCAAAGATGGAAGGGAAGGAGAGAATTTGGAAAGCCTTTTAAAAAGAAAAGAATGCTAAAAATAAATTAAAAAATATTTTTAAAAGAGGACTTGAGCCTAGTAGAGGAAAATATGGAAGTTAAGAATGTGTGGATTTTGAGGGCAAGATAGTGATTTCTGTTTTGGTTATGTTGTTTGAGGTGCCCGTGGAACTTGCACTTGAAAGTGTCCAGATGACCATTGGTGAAGTGAATCTGGAGTTAAGATGAGAGACCAGGGTTATAGAAATAGATTTAGGAATCATTTGATTAGGGCAAATAATTGAACCAGTGGGAGTTGGTAAGATCCCTTAGAGACTGGAGAGTTAGCCCACGATAGAGCATTGTGGTATGTTCACATGTGTGAGTGGAACATGGATGATGACCCAGCAAAAGAGACTGAGAAGGAACAACCAGAGAAGTCAGAAGGGAATGAAGAAGCAGTGTCATGAGAACTCAGAAAGGAGAGAGTTTCCAAAAGGAGAGGGTGGTCCATATTATAAAACATTATGGAGAGGACAAGAAAGCTGAGAACTTAGAAAAGGCCTTTAGATTTGGCAGTTAAGGAGGTAGGTCAGAAGATTTAAATCAGAGTGGGAAAACAGAAAAGAAAAGGTTTGGAAAAGCCACTGCGTAATAGAAAGAGTTGGTTGGGAAAGAATAAAAGATTCCCATAGTGCAGTGAAGATCAAGTTGAGATTAGATGAATTATATTTTCATTGGATCCAGTAAACATGGTTGTAGGTCTTAGATCAGGACAGTTCAGCAGTATGTGGGCAGGAGTAGATGTGGTGGGTGTTAGGAATAATCCACGGCTGGAGATTTAATGTGAGTGTTAATATGACAAAGATGAGAGGGATACTAGAGGAGCAGACAGTATAAAGCTGAGTTGGTCAAAGACTGTAAATATCAAGACTGGGAAGCCATAGCATCAAATGTAACACTTGTAAGATTTTTATGATGTAAATTGTGACCTTTTTACAGATTTTAGGAATAAATTATTTTCCATTTTTATACTATAATGTGAATGCAAATGTGAAGGTTCAAAAAAGTGCAGTGGCTTTTGTTTTGTTTTTAAAACAATAGATGGTGTTCTTACTATAGTAAACCACAGAAGTCCCGTTCAATCAATAGAACCAGTTTCAACATGTCTACAGAAAACAGAACTTTGTGCTTTCACCTTTCTCTAATCAAGAAGGTATGTGATTTATAATTCTCAGATAAACATTAAATACATTTTTATTTATAAATAATTGATAATTCATGTTTCTTTTCGGGGGTTTTACTTAGAAATATCCAGTTTGTCATTCCACATTGCTTCATTGGATGAAAATGGAATTCTTAATATATGGGTGAGTAAACTACATGAAAAAAATTTATATTTGCCTTCAATGAAGAAGCATTTTAGATCATTGAAATGAGCAGTTACCTTGTGTGTGTGTGTGTGTGTGTGTGTGTGTGTGTGTGTTTTAAAGCCTACAACTTAAAAAACATAACCCTACCCTATTGGTCTTGTTAGGTCTTTCCTTTTGTATAGTACATTTTATGCAACATTCTCTGGGCATTTCCTTGGCAAATACTATTTACTCATCCTTCTTGTCTTCCTCCTCCTTTTACTCCTTCTGCTGCTATTTCTACTGCTGCTGCTGCTGCTACTACTACTACTACTACTACTACTACTACTACTACTACTACTATTTAGTGTTATATACATTAAAACAGTAAGGTTCCTGAAATTGTAAGAAGCATTATAGAGGATCAAAGGCCATGTGAGTCATTGATAAATGATACCAATACAGTTTCTGTCTCTGAACTCTGAAGTTTTGGGCCTTTGTGATTATGAATAATATGAACGGAAATAGGAAAATGTGGCTGATGAACAGGGAGGAAAGTTTGAGGTTTCCCTGGCATCTCAAATTGGAAATATCCATCCTAAAGTTGCAAGTCCTTTGGAAATCAGGAATTAAGGTTAATCTACATAGAAGTGATAATTGAAGCCGTGGAAATAAATGAGCCTACAGAGGGAGAGAATGTAGAGAGTGAAGAGAGCAATAAAGTAGAATGAGTAATAATAATAATAGCTGGCATTTATGTAGCACTTTTAGATTTGTAAAGCACTTTATATATGTCAACTCAAGTTAAGAATGTTATATTGAGTTTAATAATTATAGTTTTTCTCCCAGTGTTTTTGTCACTGTTGAATGTTAGCCAAAGCAACTTGGTGTAGTCAAGTTTTGCTTAGATTGTTTTATAATTATTATTGATCATGAATTATTGATCATGAATTTTCTAATTTTAGGTGGTGGTTGAACTACCAAAAGTGGATTTTGCAGGTTCCCAAAGTGATCTAGGTAACTACAAAATATAAAAGGAACAAGTGTGGTTGTGAATGCTTAAAAAAAATCCTACAAGAAAAATGAAAAAGTTTTGAGTTATTTTGAAACAATTCTAGGGGAACACGCCATTGTAACACATTAAAGCTAAGTAATTAAAAAGTTTAAAAATATTTTACTGTATTATATCGAGTTACTGTAAGTATATTATTTGAATAACACTTTTGTTAAGCTAATGTGATCAAGGAATGAGCCACTAGTTTGTACAGTGGTAGAGTGCTGGACTGGGAGTCAGGAAGACCTGAGTTCAAAATCCCACATCAGTTGTTTCCTTAGCTATGTGACCCAAGGCAAGTCACTTAAACTTTTTCAGTTTCTTCATCTATAAAATGGGTTTAATAATAATATCTACCTCACAGGCTTGTTGTGAGGGTAAAATTATATATAATATATGTAATGAGCTATGCAAATTTCAAAGCACTTTATAAAATGCTAGTTATTATTATGAATTTACTTTTTAGTTAACAGAGCAATAACCAATCCTATTTGTCCCTATTGTTATAAAAACAGTATTTAGTAGTATTTTCCTAAGGTAAGGGAGATATGTACTTTAGTTATATATACTTCTGTTAGCCAGAAAACTACATTTTTTCCTTAATTGAAAATGAAAAAGAATCCTGTGCTTGTAACTGCAAAGCAGGAGTTTCAGAACTTTATTTTTATTTAGAACTTTATTTTCAAATACATTTTCATGACATTTACTATTTTTAGTTTCCCTAAACAAAAAGTCAGAGCCATTAAATATGTTAGATCAAATGCAAAAGTTTTTGCAAAATTTGTAAGCACAGTAGTTTTTTCTCTCCTTGCCTACAACTATCACCGTGGTGAAAATACCATGTATTTGTTTTTAAGTAGTTAAAGGTAGTTAGCTAGAGTTCTACTGAATATAGAGTTTGGATTAAATCTTGACTTTTCTAGACAAAGTAAATATGAAATCATTTAGAATCTTAACTGGCAACCTAAAGTAAGAAAGTAACAGTAAACTAAAGCATACTAAAGGCTAAAAGCTGTTATGTTATCTCAAAGTGATTTTGACCAATACTATCTGCTCTCCATTTCTTAGCTTATTCTTTACTTTGTGGCTTATAGTTCCAACATGAATCTGAAATAATGAAGCATCCAGGTGCATTTTCAACAAAGGATAATATTTATAGTAAAAAATTTCCCAAATTTCGGACTCCATTTCTTCATTTAATCTTATTTACTTCATGTAAGCATCTAATTATCAATAAGAAACTGTAGTTTAATAGTAATGACTTAGATCTGCCAGATATTGCTAGAAAGTGCAGTTATCCAATCCATATCTCAACTTTGCCCATCATGTTTTCGATATATCATGGGTTGGCATAAAAAATTAAATGGGAATTCTTTGGCAGTTGTGCAGAAACCGTGCAGAAAGAGTTTGGAAATGCAGAAATGCATAAAACGTATGTATAGGATTGTATAATAGCAACATATTTTATCTTTTAATACCATAATAATTCAGACTTCTCCTGTACAAAGGGAGGGCCAAAAAATTTTACACAGATTTTCCAGATCATGGGGGTGCCCTCTAAACCCCTGTGATTGTGGAAGGGATAACTCTACTGATGAAGATTACAGAGTCTTGATCTGGAGGCTAAAGACGTTAGAGAAACAGATGTTATTTTCATTACTGGTAACCACTGAAGTCAAGAAGTTCAGAAGTGAATAGTATTAGTAATGCTGAAGCTTAGAATGAACTAGCAGAGAAAGAATGAGCTGGCAGAGAAAGCTAATGGCAGCAATAAGGGGTGTTTTGGTTGTTGTTGGCCATATTGGGGAACAGAGGAAGGCATCAGGCCAGTGCTTAGGGTAGACGGAACAAGAATCATTGGCGGCAGAGAGGAGGCAGACTTACCTTATTTTGCTTCTGTTTTCTCTGCCGTGGGTGATCTTTGGACCGGAAAGGAGAGAACAAAGCTAGTGAGCAGGAAGTTGATACCCAAGATAGATAAGGAGATAGTAAGAGATATTGCCTAGTTGGCCTTGATGATCATAGTTAAGTCACCAGGCCCAGATGAACTTCGTCATAGGTTACTGAAAACATTAATTGATGTGACTGCCGTACTTCCATCAGTAGTCTCTGAAAGATCAGGGAGAATGTGAAAGGTGCTACAGGATTGGAGAAGGGCAAATTCCCAGTTGTCAAAACATGAAGGGAAAAAAGTCTTCACACTATAACAGTGAGTTGACTCTGATTCCTGAAAAAATTCTAGAATATGTTATTAAATGAATGGTTAATAAACACCTCATAAAGGAAGTGGTAATCACAGAGCAGGAGAATGGCTTCATGAAGAGCGGGTCATGTTGCACTAACACTTTTTTATTTTTTTGACAAAGTTTGAAAATCAGGAGAATGCTCTACTATTTCTTGCGGAAATGATGGAGAGATGTGGGCTAGAAGATATGTAAGATGGGATTCACAACTGATAGAATGGCCAGACCCAAAGACTAGCCACAAATTAATTGATTGAACTTCTCCAGTGGATGTTCTGGTATTCTGTGCTTGGCTGTATGCAGTTTAACATTTTTATCAAAGATGTAGCCTTGGAAGGGACCTTTGAGATTGTGATAAGAGCAGTATAAGCTTTACATAGGCCAGGTTGGTTTCCCTAGGGCAAGGAGGCCATCCCTTTGGATTTGGTTGGTCCTTTTGTCTAAGGCTTGAACCGATGATGTGCTTTCCTTTGTCAGACCACAGTTATGGGCATCACATTTTAGGATGTAAATAGATAAGCCAAAGGGTATCCCAAGAAGAGCAACCAGGCTGATGAAGGCCCCCACTTCCATGCTATGTAAGGATCAATTAGAAGAATTGGAGATGTTTGGTCCAAAGAAGAGAAGACTTGGGGTGGGCAGGAGGAGGAACATAATCATTATCTTCAGGTATTTCATAGACTCTTATTTGGTAAAGATGAATTAGAGCTGTTCTGTTTGGTCTCAGAGTACAGAACCAGGAGCAATGGATGTGAAGGTTACAAAGGGACAAGTTTAGACTTGATGTGAGGGAACATTTCCTGACAATTATAGCTCTCCAAAAGTAGAATGGAATGCCCTCAGGAGATAAAAAGGCTCTCCGTCATTGTAGGTCCCCAAGCAAAGGCTAGATGACCATTTCGTGGGGTATGTTGTAGAGAAAACAAATTTGCAGTGGTAGGTTGAGCTTCTGTAAAATAGTAAATAGCTTCTATCTCCTTTTCTTTATCTTCTAACCCTTATTTTTAATAATGAATTTAATATTTCTATATTTCCTTAATTTCTGAAAATAGCTCTGTATTCAATCAAGTGTACTTCAGGAATATTTCACCACTAATTTAATTTAAGGCATTGTAACAAGATGCAGAATAACTTTATTAAAGCATAAGGAATTTTGATGCTTGATAAATTCTTAAGTTCTGTGCAGAGATGTGGTTTGAATTGATGTGAAAGTAGCTTTTAGATGCTTTAGGTTGTGAAATTGCTGATAAACTATCTGAAGTTTTTTGAATATGATTTATGATAAGAGCATAGTATTCTATAAAGGGATGTTCCACCTCTCCCTTAACGAGGAATAGGGAACACTTTTTAATCAGGAAAAATCATCGTTTTAGACTATTTCTTCATGTAATGTTGGTAAAAGGTAATTTCTAATGAGCTGAAAAAGATAAAGGGGGGAAATTCCTTGGTTAATATTTCCAAGTTAATATCCCATTTTCTTCTGCAATCATTTATTAAGAGCCTTTGTGCAAAGTGTTAGGGAATAGATCAAGAAACTACAATTAGTATTCCACTTTTAAGCTGTAGCTAGGCTCCTACATTGCCCAAGAAAATATTTTACTGAAGGATATTAATAGGAAGTCAGATTTGAGATATTACCTTGCTTATCTTTTTAAGTTACATATCAGCAAAGTATATGACAGAATATATACATATATATATAAATACATATTTATTTAATTTCAAGATATACTAGACCAAAGTATACATTATACCCACATGTTTATTAGTTATAATTAATAATTGTTATTTAGCCTGCTCGTAAGTATGGCTCTATGCATGCATTTTAATTATATTGATTCACACTTTGCCATCTTTTCCTAACATAAAACATTTAAGTAATAACAAGTGATTTTGGAGTTTTTTATAAGACATTTAAGTAATAACAAGTGATTTTGGAGTTTTTTTTAAGGTCTTTAGTTACCACTTGTACAAATAGAATAACTCGTTTTTGGTCTGGCTATTTTTAGGTTTAATACCAGGAGGAAAGATAAAGCTGGTACACAGCTCTACAATTCAGTTGAATAACAGGTAAGTCCCCTATATCATGTTTAATATGCTAAAAATAATATTTTTATCTTATTAGGCTCATTACCCTCCCTTAAAAGCAAGATAGAAATGAGATTTTGCATTTTAAAATGAATACATGATGAATTTTGGCAACCATTATATTATTTGTACTATGAAATGGTTCATTGGTAAGAAGCATATATGCTTAGAGAAATGTCTGATGGATCTATGACTTTGTTCCTTAGGTCAGGGACCTTTTTTGTATCGTGAAGCTGTTTGGCAGTTTGGTTAAGCCTATTAGACCCTTCTCAGAATAGTATTTTAATGTGTATAAAATGAAATACATAACACTGCAAATGGGACCAATTATATTCAAAGAATTATCAAAATATTAAGAAAACAAAGCAAAACAAAACTTCACAGACTGCACAAAACCAAACTTCCTTCTCTTAGGATACGGATGCTTTAACTTTTGTAGATCATTGTTATTTGATTTGTATTTTAAATCTATTTAAAATATGCCATGTCAAGAAGTCAAGGATCTGTGATTTTGTTACTGAGGGAATTCCTTCCACCAATGAAGAGTGCAACCTGTCTGTAATTTAGTACATGAGTCTTAGAAATTGCCCGAGGAGGGGCAGCTAGGTGGCGCAGTAGATAGAGCTCCATCCTTGGTGTCAAGAGGACCTGGGTTCAAATCTGGCCTCAGACACCTGACACTTACTAGCTGTGTGACCTTGGGCAAGTCACTGAACCTGATTGCCTTACCAAAAAGCAAAAAAAAAGAAAAAAAAGAAAAGAAATTGCCCAGAGAGGTTGCTTGATTTACCTGTGGTGACGCAGTGTCAGAAGAGAGATTTGAATCCAAGTCTTCCTGACTTGATATCTAGCACTCCACCATGCTGTGTGGCCTCAATTTAGATAATAGGATACCAAAGTTAAATTGTCCTTAAATAATTCAGTTTCTGGAAGCAGATGTAATATTTATGTGAAACTTTTTTATTAGTCTGGGAACTATTCCAGAAATAAAAATTCCTCCTTCTGTATGTATAAATCCTTCTTACTGTATGTAGCTAACTGAAAATTTGAGCAAATTTCATCAGAACTTTATCTTGTTTGTGGCATCTATTTCATGATATTATATCTTATAACAGTATCACTTAATAGTGTGAAAATAGGAATTAATTTTGATATCTTTATTGTGTTGATTATTCCCCCCCAAGCTTATCCCCATTACACAGAATTCTTGCTCATGGTTTTAGATATATACTATTTTATTATTTTTAGGAAAGCTCTATTTATTCCTATACCTTCTACTGTTTTTTTTTAACAGAAATGGGTGTTATATTTTGTCAAAAGCTTTTCTTGCATCTATTGAAATAACTATTTGATTTTTGTTGGTTTTGTTTTAACATGGTCAGTTATGTTCTTAGTATTCCTGATACAAACCAGCCCTAAATTTCTGGTATAAATCCAGATTGATCAGTGTTGATCTTTGTAATATGTTACTATAGTCTCCTTGCTAATATTTTATTAAAAAATGCTTTCATCAACATTCATTAGAGAAATTGACCTTCAGTTTTCTTTCTTTATTTTGATTCTCTCTGGCTTAGGAATCAAAACTATATTTGTGACATAGAAGGAATTTCATAGGGTCCCTTGTTTGCCTATTTTTCAAGGAGTTTATATAGTATTGGAATTTACTGTTCTTTAAATGTTTGGTAGAATGCACTTGTAAATCCATCTGGTCTTGGTTTGTCCAGAGAAAGAACTGGTAGAGTCTGAATGCAATTCAAAGCATACTTTTTTTACTTCATTTTTCTTGGGGTTTTGTTTTGGGTTTGTTTTTTTTTTTTGGTTTGTGTTTTCTTTTGCAACATGGCCAATAAGGAAATATATTTTGCATCATTGCGCATGTATGATCTATGTCAAATTGCTTATGTTCTCAAAGAGGGGAGAGGAGAGGGAGGGAGAAAATTTGAAACTCAAAATTTATAAAAATAAATTTTAAAATTGTTTTTGCATATAATTGGAAAAATATAAAAATTTTAAAAAGAGAAATGAGAACATTTGAAACAGCTTTTATGGGGAATGGGATAACAAATTGATTAGGGAGTAGTAGGATGATTTCCTTGTTGCATTGAAAGACCAGTTGAAATTAAAGCACATTAAAGCACATAAATTTGTAGTGCACCCAGCATTTGGTTCCAGGGACATTTAGTGACTTGCCCAAGGCCATACAATAGTAAATGTCAGAGGGAGGGTTTGAACGCAAGACTTCTGCCTCCAGAACAAGTGTTCTTTCGTATCTATGTTTTTATTTATTTATTTTTTTGTGAGGCAATTGAGGTTAAGTGACTTGCCCAGAGTCACACAGCTAGTGAGAGTGTCCTGTGTCTGAGGCCTGATCTGAATTCAGATCCTCCTGACTCCAGGGTTGGTGCTCTCTCCACTGTGCCTCCTAGCTGCCCCCTGTTCTTTCCTATCTAGTCCAACCTCTTTGACTTTACAGGTGAGGAAATTGAAGCTTAGTAATGTGAAGGGACTTACTTGAGATCATTTAGTTAGTTAGTGACATGGTAGGATCTAGATCCAGTCCCTTTGGGCTTGGGGATTAGAGTTCATTCATTCACATGCATTCATTCATCAGCCATTCATTCCGCCATTCATTGAATACTCACTTTATACCAGGCAATGTGTTAGATGCTGGGAATATAAAGACAAAAAAGAAATAGCCCTAGTACACGGTGCCTGCTTCTTCTACTATTTCTAAGTTGTTGTGTTGTCTTGTTTTTTTTTGAGAAAATGACATGGATTGTATTTGGATTTGTAAATTAACCAAAGAATAAGTCTTGGAATTTATTATTCTGCTTTGAATCAGATGAGTTTGGGTGATTCCTACAGAGAAATATTCAATTAATTGTTCCTGACCTAAGATGCTGTCCGTAGTTCATAGCATGTTTTTTGTTTGTTTTTTTGTTTTTGTTTTTTTTTTTTACTTTTGTCTGGTGCCCTTTCAGTTTTTCTCATTAGAGAGAAAACCACAGTTAAATGCTAGTCTTCCTTTCAAACATCTCTGACTCCTGTTATATGTTAAACAGGGAAGCCACGTGTGTGGCTTAGGGCCGTCTTCCAGTAGCTGCGTCCGTTAGCAGGTGAGATCAAGGCTGATGTGCATTTGAATGCAGTGGGCTGTTAGGGCACCACCAACCACTTTTATTTATCTTTTGTTTTATTCTCATAGCATTCATGTTGAAGGCAGGTGATATTTTTCCATTTTATAGGTTGAAAAATTGAGTTAGGAGCAGGTTAATTGATATGTTGAAGGTCATTATCACATAGTTTTACTTGGATCTGAACTCTTAACTCTTTCCCCAGTATTGTATCAGATAGCAGATAGGCTAATTTCTCCAATGGAAAATAAGCAGTTTCCTCTGTGTAATCTAACTATGAAGTAAATGCCTATGCCAAATATTTAATGCCATGTTAATGCTATTTACATATCCTTGAGGTTTTTAAAGACAAATTCTATTCACATTGTTTTTCTATTGCATTTTCTTAGCTTTCCCCCTAAAGTTAACACAAGTGTGAGGCCTATGCAGACACTGATTGTTAAGTTTTTACCTTCAGATCCTAATCGTTACATTATTGGTACAGACAGGGTAAGTAATATTCAAAATTTCCTTCTGTAAACTGATTCCTTTCATTTCCCAGGATTTTCCCAAAATGCCTTTAAAAATCATTCCATGTTTTCAGTGTGAGTCAGTAAATGATTTTTCCTCATAAATTTAATGTGCTCACTATTCCCAGAGTGGACCAGGGCTGGATGTATAGACCTAGAATTCATTTGAATAATTCAGGGGTGGGGAACCTGTGGCCTTGAGGCCTGGAATAGATGATCACTGGGGGCTGATGAGGTCAACAAGTGGAAAGCTTTAGAGAAAAAAGAGAAGGGTGCTGTAGCCACCACCCTCGTTTAGGGTCCTCATCACCTATTGCCTGTACTATTGCAAGAGCTTTCTAATTATTCTCCCTGACCCAAGTCTACTCATTCCAATCTATCCTCCACAGCTGCCAGAGTGATTTCCAAAAGTGCAGGTCTTACTACAGTGAACTCTCCTTTTACTACTAGGATAAATAAAAACTCTTTCTGGTGTTTTGAAGCTCTTCAAACCCTGACCCCATCCTACCTTTCCAGCCTTATTATACTTACTTTCCTCTAGCCTCGCTCTTTCTCATGGAGGACACCCTATCTATCACCTCTGCTTCTACTGTCTTCCATGCTTGGCATGCACTTCCACCTCATGTCTGCTTCTCAGAATCCTGTTGTACTTGAAGACTAACCTTAAACCCCATTTTCCACAGGAGGTCTTTCCTATTTTCCCTGCAGCTCTTAACTACCTCTCCGTTCCCCCCAAAAGTTATGTTATGTTATATTATATCTGTATTATATATGTGCATGTTGTCTTCCGTGTTAGAATCTAAGTGTCTTCAGATTGGGAATAATTTAACTTTTTTTAATCGCACAGTGCCTAATGCATAATAGTTTCTGATAAATGCATTTTGATTGAATGATTGGAATACATTCTGTCTACTTTAGATATCTGTTATCAATTTCTTCATATTAATAGGGTGTTATAAGTCATGGTGCAAGACATGATTCAAAAGTGTCGCCAAAACTGTTCAAACCTCAGCAACGTGAAGAAAGACCAGTGAAAGTTACTGTGATTGACTTTTCACCATTTGGAGAGCCAGTGTTTTTGGTATGAAAGTTTTTTTTTTAATGTATTCTTCCTATTTGATTTTATTTTCTGTTTGGGGAGCATGATGCTTGTGAAGATTTACTTGTAAAATTATTGCATATGCAAACATTATTCCTATTCTTTAAATAAATAGGATGTTAGTAACTTAGAGTTTTAGGAAGAACAGTGGGATTTTTTTTTAAATTAGTAACTTCTAAGTTAAAAAGCTAAGATCCTATGTTGGTACTTCATTGTGAGAGGGAGGAAGCCCTGAACTCTGAAAGGCTGTGGTAGGCCAGGGTCAGCTTTGACAGGCTTTACCAAGCTGCCAAGGGCCTGGAGTGTGTGCTGGGTGATTGTAAATCATATGCGTACCAGGCAAAAGGTGTTGTTGTCAGAAGGCTGGCTTTCAGACACTTAATTCTTTTTGGTTCATAAAAACCACCTCCCAAGGCTTGGACTGATAGAGGTTTACATTGGCAGATGAAATCACAGATCTTTATAGTTTTAAAGTACACTGTATAATTAAATGTACAAGGTTATGTTCTGTGAAATTTCCCCTTGATTATCTCTTGCAAAACAGTAAATTGCCTTTTGTCTCCTCCTCCTTTAGCTTTGCACTGCTTGTAATGTCTTAATTACATTTGTAGTTTAAACTAGCCTATTGAATTGAAATGAATAGCAGTCATGCTTTTCTGTATTCCTCCTGCCAATTTAGTCCTTTCCCCCAATTTTGCTGCTTGTTTACAAGAAACATGTACTAAGGAATATACAGATTGGTTGACTAGGATCTTTCTCCATCCTGGCATGAATCTATAATCACGGCAAGTAAGGTGTTCGTATATTAATAATGGTTTTTGCCCTTGGAGATAAAACAAATAAGTACCTCATTAAGTAAAGCCTTCCTTGTTCAGCACCTCTTTATGTGTGCCCCTCAAAATCTGAAGCCTGCAGTTTAGAAAATTTCATAGATCATGTGTCCAAGGAGAATAATCGAAAAGGTATTTATAATTATGGTTTTCTAGTACTCTTGTTCCAGTTTAATCAAAATATGAATTGTTAATAATAATATTATTCTCTTTTTCAATTAAATTCAGGTTTATGTCATTATTGCTATTGTTATTACTACTAGGGTAGAACAACCTAGGCTCAGTAGGAAAAAATCAGAGCTAATTTTTTTTCTTTTGCTCGAAGAAGTGTCCTAATTTTATTCATAATTACCTGTCAGTGTATGTGGCAAGACATATTCTGCAAAGGTTATAAATTTAAAAAAACACAACTCACTCCAAAAAACACTAAGAAAAAGCAATGAGATTTTCTTTGGAGATTACATGAGAACTATAGTGGTGTTAAAACAGTTTTTGTTCAACCTTAGCTGTTAAATGATAAATGAGATCACCAATCTGCTTCAGTTTTTGAATTAAAATTAAAATTGTTGTTGAATTGTTGAATTTCTAAATTTTGTCAATATTCAATAGCTTAGCTTTTCTGAATTTTTGCCTCTTGTTTTCTAAATGTTAGATATGTATGTAAATTTGGTTTTAGCCATTGCATATATTCTCCCTTGGGAAATGACTTTTTGAAAATAAAATGAATGAAATCAATTGCACATTTTTTCAGGCAGCATTTAATTCATGTTATGGTGGCCAAAAGAAGTCATAACTCCTCAGTTTAGGCTATTATTTTGAAGCGTGAGGGTTGATAAATTAGTGGGTTTTGCTTCTTTGAAGATTTTCACCTAGGTCATATAAGTAGCAAATGGGTAGAACAGATGTATAATACTATAAAAATAGTTGGCTATTCTTTTGTATCTAAAGGCAACTTTGGTAGCCTATATGTTAGTAGCTGATATTTCAACTTTCATTAATAATTAACATCTATTTTAACTGTGGAATTTATCATACCTCTCAGAAGTATCATTTTATTGAGTTGTTTATTTTTGGTTAGCCTATTTATGTTTTTCTTTCTGTGTTACAGGCTGGCTGTTCAGATGGAAGCATTAGATTACATCAGCTAAATTCTGAATGTCCAATTTGTCAGTGGAATAACAGTACCAATGGCCAGGCAATTATCGCCTTAAAGTGGACACAGACAAGACCTGCTGTGTTTTTGGTCCAGGATGACATATCCAACATTTACATTTGGGATCTATTAGAAAATGATCTGGGACCTGTCGCCAAACAACTTATCTCTCCAGATAAGTAAGTCAGATAAAATTTGTAATGAACTGTCAGAAGCATTTCTTTGCATAAGGTCTTTGATGGTCAGTCTGTGAGCCTTTGATTTTTCCTTCTGTTTTTCAGTTGATATTTGAGACCACTAGGCTACATCAGAATGTTATGGATTCTGAAAGACTGCCTATATTTACTTATATGTCATACCCTACAACTTTCTTCTTCCTCTTTTAAAAATTAATTATTGTTCATATTTGGTTAAATTCAGGTTATTTGGATATTAGACTTATACTTAATACCCAAGAATTGAAATAGGTGCACCTGAGAGCAAAATCAGTTTAAGAACATAAATTAAATTTCAGCTTTTGAGGAATTTATAAGCATATGTTGTTCCCTAGTTATTTGGTGAATGTGGGATTTAGAGGCAGAGACCCACCAGACTTGTCTGGTTATTCCATAGTCTGAATAGCTTCCTTTATATAGGTTCCTTGGATAAAGGGATTCAAGGTAAAAACAAAAAAGATAAAGAATCTGAGGAGACACAAGAGCATCATTTGTGAGGCTGGAGTGGGGGCACAAGATGTACACAAAAAAGGAAATACAAGGTAACTTGAGGATGGAGTGAACATGGACACTGAGGGCAGTCAGGAAGAGCTTCACAAAAGAGGGGGTACCAGAGGTGAGCCCTAAGAGAAGCACCGAATTCTCAAAGGTAAAGGGGAGGAGGTAGTGTACACAAGGTGTAAGAAATGGGGAAAATCCCAGAAATAGGAGAGGGTATGTTGAATGAAAGGAAAGGCAAGTTTGGGCTGGAACACCAAGTAGGGGAAGGAAAAATATGAAATGTCTGGAAAGGCAAGTTGTAGCCAGATTGTAAAGAGCTTTAAATGGAAGGCTGAGGAACTTGTATTTGATCCTAAAGGCAAGAGGAGTCATTGAAAATGTTTAGTAGAATAGTGACATGGGCAGACCTGTACCTTAGGGATCCTAATATAACAGTTGTGCGGAAGATGGATTGGAGAAGGGACAGAATGGAAATAGAGAAACCAATTAGGAGGCTGTTCTATTGAGAGATGATGAGGGCCTGAAATAGGGTAGAGACATGATTGTCCGAACGGGGAAAAAGAGATGCAAAAAAGGCAGTAGCTTGAGATGGGGTAGCATGGTTAAATGAACATTTATTAAATATGGGGGAGATCTGGACATGTTTATAGGCATCAGGGAAGGAGTCAGTAGATAAGATTAGAGGTATGAGAAAAGGAAAATGGTTAAAGACAAAATCTCCTAGAAGAGAAGGTTGGGGATCCAAGGCACAGCGTCTCCTGTTCCATAGAGACTGGCATAAAGGAGGAAAGACTTAGGGAATGACATAGAAGGGCTCGGTCATATTGAATAGACTCTGTTTTCTTAGTAAAATAGATGTGTAAAGAGGAGGAGAGTGAAGGTGTTGGCAAAGGGGCCTTGAGAAACGAAGAGAAGGTTGGGAACGGCCACTGTGGGAAATATGATAGAGTCAGGCAACGTCTACCAAGCTAAATTGTTCACCTTTGTTCACATGTGTCTTGTTCTTTATTTCTTGTGTGCCTTTTCTAATACTACTTATTACTCATGCAATTCCACCCCACCCTTTCAACCTATTGACATCTTTCAAGCTGTAGCTAAGTGTTCTTCGAGAATGAAAGAACAGACAGCAACTTCTGTGAGTAGAGAAGGAGCGTCCCACTAGGGACCAAACTTCCAGTTGGGCAACCTGGTTTTCTTTCCTTCCTTCTTTCTTTCTTTCTTTCTTTCTTTCTTTCTTTCTTTCTTTCTTTCTTTCTTTCTTTCTTTCTTTCTTTCTTTCTTTCTTTTTTCTTTCTTTCTTCCTTCTTTCTTTCTTTCTTCCTTCTTTTCTTTCTCTTTCTTTCTTCTTTCTTTCTTTCTTTCTTTCTTTCTTTCTTTCTTTCTTTCTTTCTTCTTTCTTTCTTCCTTCCTTCCTTCCTTCCTCTTCCTTCCTTCCTTCTTTCTTTCTTTCTTTCTTTCTTTCTTTCTTTCTTTCTTTCTTTCTTTCTTTCTTTCTTTCTTTCTGTCTTTCTTTCTTTCTGTCTTTCTTTTTTTCTTCTTTCTTTCTTTCTGTCTTCCTTCTTTCCTTTCTTTCCTTTTTTTTTCTTTCTTTTCTTTCTTCTCTATCCACATAGGGTATTACATCCTTACCTGCCAGTGCTCTGCTCAAAGGAAATGTAAATTTTAATCTCTAAACCTTTTTTTATTTTGTTTTGTTTTGTCTCGAAGACCAGCCTTAACTCCACTCTGGTCCTAGACCTGCTTGGTCACTATTTGAGCCTTGTTTGACTCAGAATGAATGTAAATAACAATTGTTTCTGTTTTGGCCAGAAACCCTGAGGGTCTTCCCCTCCCAGATCTATTTTTTTTTAGAGGCCATTCTTTGCCTCATTTTTAAAAATTAAGCCTTAATCACTGAATGGGCGCTGCCTCAGTCAAACTGAGGCCTGTTAAAGACCTTACCTTGAAAAAGCCAAGGTCCCCCACTGCATCCTGGGCCATCTCCAGTTGTCCTGATCCATATCTGGCCACTGGACCCAGATGGCTCCAGAAGAGAAAGTGAGACTTTGCACAGCCTTCCCTCACTTAAATCTAGTTCACTTGCATGTCATATTATCACCTCCTTGGTGTCATGGTCCTCTCTGAGAATGAAGGACAGACAGCAGCAACAGAAAGTCTTCTGCCTGAAAACCTATAGCCTTTGATTTGCACTATATTTGTATAACTCACAGCATCATAGGATCATAGATGTGGAGCTGGAAGGAGCCTTAGAGTCCATCGATTATAGGTATAGATTATAACTCTTCCTTCGGGGCAGAGACTAAGTCTATCCTACTTGTTCAATTTAGCAAGCATTTATTAGCATCTCGTATTTTCAAGGCACCAAAACACATGCTGAAACAAAACTGCTTCTGCTCCCAGGCATTATATATGGGAATATACAATATACACATCTCTAAGATTATATGTGCTAAATTAAGAAGGGAGAAAGGTTTAGCCACTGGAAAAGCTTCACCAAGTCAAAGGCAACAGAGCTGTAAAATGCAGGAAATTGAAGGGCATTTTCATTCTAAGCTAATTCATTTCTGGTTAGGCTAATCTTGGGCGAGTAAATCAGTTACCTTTGGTTTACTTTTCTCATCTGTAGAACATAGGGAAGAATAAAGGGAATTGCTGTGTTCTCTCCATGCCCACACAGGTTGGGCCATCTTCCTTTAGCCCTTCTCTCACACCACTTTTCTCTAACAATGCTAGAAGGAAGGAGGAGGGATTTCAGAGCTGTCCAGAAATCTTATACCTTTTCATGCAATTTTCAGGTTTTCAAACGAGTAACTCCTGTGCCAGGGAGTACTTTGTCTAGGTTGGTGGATCTGTTCCTTTGAATATTATTTTTCTTTTTAATATACAAACCTGCCTTTTGATATGAAGGAATACAGAAACCAATTTGCGTAATGCAAATTTACATAAAGCAAAAACTAGTTTATGGAGTTCATCTGTAAAACTGTTTTTATCCTTGCATAATGGGTAATGAAACATCTTCTATAAACATGTAATTTTATAGTGATGCATTATGTCTGAACCTGCATTATTTAGTTTTAAATCATTACTTATTTTTATTTGAGGTAGATTTTTCAAGGTTATGTGCGAGGTATAGTAGAAAGAGGTATGGCCTGAATTTGGGTCCGATGAATGCTGGTTTGATTTCTGGCTCTGCCACTTACTACCTGAGATGCTTCCTTTCTCGGGGCCTGTGGTTCCTGATATATAGAATCAGGGGAGTTGACCTCCAAGGTCCCTTCAGCTCCAAATCTGTGATCCTATGAGTTAAAGAAATGGCAGAAGGGATAAGGAGTATCCATGCCAAACACAATTTATACTTGTGAGTGGAGGCAGGAGATAGAGGGGGGAACAGATAGTAATCCAGGTTGGTAGGAATGTATCAACAACAATAATAACAGCAGCTAAAATAATAGTTAACATTTAGATAGTGCTTACTAGATTCCAGGCACTGTGGTAAGCACTTTACTAATATGATCTAATTTGATCCTCACAACAGTCCTGTTAGTATTATTATTATTATTATCCCCATTTTACAGTTAAGGAAATTGGGGCAAACAGAAGTCAAGTGACTTGACCAAGGTCAAACAACCAGTGAGTGTCTTAGGCAATTGAACCTTTATTTGAACCTAGAGGTGATAGAAAGCCACTGGAGTTTATTCAGAGAGAGGTGACATGATAGGACCTGTGCTTTAGGAAAATAATTTTGACAGCTAAGTGTGGGATGAACTGGAGTGGGGAGAGACTTGTGGCAGGCAGATTGACCAGCAGTCTGTTGCAATAGTCCAGGCATGAGGAGATGAAAACCTGCACCAGGGTCATGGACTTATCAGAGGAGAGAAGGGGGCTTATTTGAGAGCTGTTACAAAGGCAGAGTCGACAAGCTTTAGCAATAGATTGGATATGGGGATCCAGGTGAGAGAGAGACAGAAATTGAGGATGACAGCTAGATTGAAAGTCTGGGGGACTGGAAGGATGGTGGTGCATTCAAAAGTAGTAGGGAAGTTTGGAAAAGGGGCAGTGTTTTGGGGGAAAGATGAGTCCAGTTTTGAACATGTTGAGTTTAAGACATCTAGAAGACATGCAGTTCAAGAATGTCCAATAAGCAGTTGGACATTTGAGCAGAGAGGTTAGAGTTAGATGAATAGGTTTGAAAATTGTCATCATAACATGATAATTGAATCCAAGGGAGCTGATGCGATCATCAAGCAAAGTAATACAAAGGGCGAAGAGGACCCAGTACAGGACTCTGTGGGACATCCATGATTAACAGGCATGACGTCGAAGCAGATCCAGCGAAGGAGACTGAGAAAGGGGAGGAATGCTCAGTAAGGCTGGATAGATTATGGGGAGCACTAAATGTCAGGCTAGAGAGATTGTATTTTATTGTAGAGACAACAGGGAGCCGCTGAGTATATTTGAGGAGGGGAATGATTTGGTCAGACCTTATTTAACCTCAGGATGGCAGTTTTGGCAGTTGGATGAATGAGAGCATGCATTGGAAAGAGGAGACACTGGAAATAGGGAAATCAGTGAGGAAGCCATTGCAGTAATCAAGGTGAAAAATCACCACCAGAGTAGTGGTTGTGGGAATGGAGAGAATGGGAGAAATGCTATGAAAGTGGAATCAACTGGATCTGGCATCTATGATTAGATAATGTGTGTCTGGAGATGAGGTGAGGAGTCATAAGATCAGAGCAGCATAGATTTAGAGCTTCATTTTACAGATGAGGAAACCAAGGCCCAAAGAGGATGCATGACTTGCCCAAGGTCGCAGGAACTAATGAGTATTTGGACCAGGCTTTTTGATTCCAGATTCATTATTCTACTCCTGTGTTGTGAATCTGGCAGGTTTATAGTACCCTCAGCAAAAATATAGATGTGAGGAGGAGATGAATGTTTGGTTGGTGGTGGTGGCAGAGCAGCTGAATTGCTGTTTTCACATGTTAAATCTGAAGTACTAATAGAATAGCCAGATGACAGTTAGAGATATGGGATTAGAGTTCTTTGTAGCTCCTCAAAATAATCACTTCAGTAAACACTTGACTAAATTATTGAATGGATGAATTAATGGTTTCCAGCCCCTGGGATGGTTTCCTAATGGAATACAACCAAATTGCTCCCATTTCTCAGAAGCCTGGAAATTCAGAGAGACTCACCTAGCATATAATTTCTTCCAGGTTGGCAACAGAATGTAATACTGTGAACACTAGTCCCTTCCTAATTGGTTATTCTTCTCAGTCTTTCCCCAGTACAGTACATCTTCCACTCTGCTTCCAGAATGATTTCCCAAAAGCACATGTCTAAACACACCCCGACCTCCTTTTCCAGCTTTATCCCACTGCGCTTTCATGTTTTCTCACACAGAACATTCCATTTCCTCTCCCTTTTCCTTTGCACTGGCTGACCCCAGGCCTAGAGTATTCTCCTTTCTCATGTGAACCTCTTAGTGTCCCTTATTTCCTGCAAAATTCAGCTCCAGCTGCACTTGCTACATGATGCCTTTCCTTCTTCCTCCCCAGACTACCTTGTATTTATTTTGTATGTATTTATATGTACATATCATTTCCCCCAATAAACTGTAAGCTCTTTGAGGACCAAGGACCATTTCATTTTTACCTACTTTGTAACCCCAGCACCTAGTGCGATGCCTAGCACATAGTAGGTGCTTAGTAAATGCTTGATTTAGTGATTGATTATACCCTTTATTGGTCTGAGAGCTGACCATCGAGCACTCATTCTTACCGGCTTGAACATTAATCCAGAGTTGTTGGGTTTTTTGAATTTTCTGTTTTGCTCCTTGGTTTGGAGGTCAGAAAGCTATCTCGGAAATGGAAAAGAAAACAAACAAGGGGTATTGTGTGTCTCCTCATAATTGATCTGGCTGCAAATAAATGCTTTCTTTTTTAGGCTCGTAACTACAACAGTCATGGGTGATCCAGAAAAGACAAACAGATTCCTTGGTCTGGCACTGGCCAGAACATCTGGGATGATTGAAATTCAGTACCTGAAGAAGAAATGGACGTCACCCAAGAAAGAAGAGCAAAAGAGACTGCGTTTGCTTTTGCAGGAAGCCCTCTAGAAACAGAAAAATAGTTTCCTAAGAGATTCATAAAAAATGAACATTACCCAGAGAATTTTCATTCAATGATTAAAACTGCATTAGGTGTTATTAAGAGGTGTATACTTTAATAGCTACTACATCTATGTGCATGTATATTTCTGTATATAGTATATATATTCTATATATAATTAATTTTACTATTGACTTCAGTGTTTCCACTAAAATCAATATTTTTAAACAGGAAAAGAAGTGATACTTTCATATCTATTGAACTGAAAAGGAAATATACATTATGGGCACTCCAAATGTATTGTTTATGGAGGATCTTTGTATATATATTTTTCAGAATAGCTCTAAAATGCGATCATCAGATTCATTACTGTCTTTTAAATCACCCACCAGGAAATGAATTTTAATGGACTGTTTTCTTATTCACACAAAAATATCTATGCCTGTCCAAGTTAAAAGCAGTTCCAGTGTTGAACATTTCTTTGCTAGTTGTTTTTTTCTCAAAAACTCCTTCTGCCTCATTTTTGGGCACCATTTTTAGCAACATTTATCCAGTCTTGTAATATTAAATACCCTGTTAAAAAGATAATTTAAAGTCAAGAAAACCTGGAAGTGATAGACTTTTCCAATATTAGAACTGGAAGAAAGGAGTTTAGAGATTATGTAGTTTAATTCTTTCACTTGACAGATGAGGGAATAGGCCCAGCAAGGCTTGCTTAAGCTTATGTAATCAACCAAGTAGAATCCTGATTCTCAGCCCATTGCTTCTTCTATTACATCAGGCTGACAATTCACACGAACAAGTGGACAGGTAGGAGCATTTTTTTTCCCTTCGCGGGTTGTCGAAAAGGTCCATATGGCCCATTAGAGACATTGAAACTTTTGTTTCCGTGAAGAATAATTCAATTCAACAAGCCAAGTAGATAAAAATCTACTCCAGAGACAATTCACATGGGAGGTATCATTATTAGTACCATGCTTGACAAGATGTAGCCAGAGAATCATCTGTTTAGAATGGAACCTTGCAATCATCAAGTCCAACTCTTTTCCTGAATTCAGAAATCCTTTCTACAACTCTGACATGGTCTTCCATTTTCTCCCTAAATATTTTCAGTGATGACTAGACTAGCTCCTCCCTTCATAAGAGTTTTGTTATTGTATCACTCAAAATATTAGAATAAAAGTTCTTTTGTTACATTGAACTAAACATCTACCTTACTCTACTGCATCATGAACCCATTGTCCTCTGTAGCTTTTTAAATATTTGAAAACACCTACCGTACATCTTTTAAGTCTTCCCTTCTCTAAACACCACAGTTTCTTCTTTCATTATTTGTGCAGCGTGGTTTCCGTATCATTCATGACTCTAGTTACTCTTCCTTGGACACAATGTAGGTTGTTAGTTCTTCTCTAAGATGTGGTACCACTGATAGAACACATATTCCATATGTAGTTTGAATATTAATAAGACTGTACTTCCCTGGATCAGGACATGTGGTTCAAGCTAATGATGTTTTTTCTCTTTTATTGATGTCTTTTGTTCTTATATCACCTCCATTTGTCAATATATCCTTCTTTCCTCTGCAGCCCAACCCTCATAACTAGAGTGCCTTCTCTGGACTGCCCCACTCCCCTCAGTACTCACATTCTCTTGGGGAATCACTACCCTATGTTTCAAGGTACTCTCTGGTTCTACACTCCTAAAACTATATAATTCACAAGCCCCCTGCAGTGGGCTTAACTTTAATAGTCAGCCAGACAATGAAATTAGCTTAAAGCAAGGTGTTTATCAAAATAGCGTAGTAAAAAACAGTAGCTACAAAACGTTCCTCCCATAAACCCACAGTGCATTCTTCTACAAAATATTAGAGAGGAACACAGATGGAATCCAGGTGGCCAGGGTGACTCACAACCCCTAGTGCCCTAGGACCACAAATGTCTCCTTGGCGTGTCCTAGCTGCTTCCTGCTGGAGACATTACTCCGTCTGTTTCCCTGGACTTCCCACTGTATTCCACAGGTGCGTCTCCTGGACTTGAGTCTGTCTTAGGAGCAACATCTCCTATTGGTCCCCACTGAGAGATGCCATGGCGGATGAGACTGGGGAGGAGAGGGGGATTCTCTCCTACCCAGGTTCCCCTTCCTCCCTCCATCTGTCCCTTCCCCTCCCAAGAGGTGTAAGGGATAAGCAGTTTCTCAATTATCAGGCATAACTAATTCCCTTTGTGAGTATGTCTGCAGAGCTGGCTCATTCGCTTTTTACAGACAATTAGAGGTGTTGTTGATCTAGTTGATAGAGGAAATTCACACCTTTTAAAGGAGCAATGAAGTATAAAGTTTTGGTTTCTTTATATACTTCCTTTACAAGCTGTGAATTGATTCTCTATTTCTGAACCCCTTAAAATCTGTGAATGAGCAGCTCAGAGTGTGAACTACTCAAGGCTTCAGCTTTAGCCCTTTACGCCCTTTACTCGAGGCGTCAGTACAACGAGTCTGAGACATTTCATTAAGTCTTTGTTGCCTGCTCATTTAGTACTTTCATTATGTGAGCCAGGGGAACTTGGTTGATCGAGGATCCCTTGATCAGCCCTGCTATTTATGGCAAGGAATTAAAAAAAAATAGTTCAGCAAAACAGGCATGTACATATATATAGAAGCTAACAATATATATATCGAGATATGTTGTGTTCTACTTCCATAATCTCCCCCCACAGCAGAGAGGGGATAGCAGGGAATAGCTTGGGGCCAGATTTGATCGTCATGATTGTACAACATTAGCATTCAGTTTTAGTGTTTTTGTTCTTCTCATTTACGTTGTTGTAGTCATTGTGTATGTTTTCCTGTTTCTGCTTGCTTCACTTTGCATCAGTTCATATGTCTTTCCATGCTTCCCTGCATTTTTCCTTTCCTTTCCTTTCCTTTCCTTTCCTTTCCTTTCCTTTCCTCCCCCCCCTCCCCTCCCTTCCCTTCCTTCCCTTCCCTTCCTTCCCTTCCCTTCCCTCCTTCCCTTCCCTCCTCCCTTCCCTTCCCTCCCTTCCCTTCCCTTCCTTCCTTCCCTTCCCTTCCTTCCCTCCCTCCCTTCCCCTTCCCTTCCCTTCCCTTCCCTTCCCTTCCCTTCCCTTCCCCTCCCTCCCTCCCTCCCCCCTCCCTCCCTCCCCCCTCCCTCCTCCCTTCCTTCCTTCCTTCCTTCCTTCCTTCCTTCCTTCCTTCCTTCCCTTCTTCCTTCCATCACCCAGACTGAAAGTGCATTTTGGCCTGGACCTTTGACCTGTTCTTTTTACAACATAGGCCAGTTCACACCTCCTTAGGTAACTTGGTGGTCTCCCTTGCTCTGAAGTGGGGGGTAGGGGTGGGGATCACCATATTAATACCAAACTTAGTGAGGAAACTTGATTAGCTTAGCTCAGTGAAGTACAAAACTCCCAAGTTCAAGAGAGCTGCTAGTCTCAGCCTTCCCAGTAGCTAGGATTACAGGCAGGCATCACCATGTTGCCCAGTGTGTTAATAGTTGCTTACCTCAAAATAATATTCCATCATGTTCATGTGCCACAATTTGTTTTTCCATTTACCACTTGATAGGTGTCTACTTTGTTTCTATTTCTTTGAAACTCCAAAAAATGCTGCTGTAAGTATTTTGGTATGTATTGTAGTTTCTTTTCTATCTTCTGCTACGAGGCAGGGAGGCAATATCTACTTAGTAGTGGAGTATCTGGGTTCAAAGGGTGTGGACATTTTAGTTACTTGCTATCATTCCAAATTGCTTTCCAAAATGATTGGACAAATTCACAGCTCCACCAACAGTTTATTAGTGTTTCTGTCTTTCTATAGCTCCTTCAACAATTTTTTAAGGGGTAATAACGTAATGTTTCTTCATACTGAGATAGTTGTCACCTAAAACTCCCTCTACCTTTTTCACGTGAACTACTATCTATCCAGGCCTCCCTTATACTATTGTACTTGACCAATTCCAATTTTTAAACGTGTATATATAGAGAGAATTTTATATTCCTATTAAGTTTCATTTTGTTGTTTTTAACCTGTTATTCTTATGCAGAAAGTGGTACTTGAGCTGCATTTTCAGGGGAAGAGAGAAAATCCTTGAAGTAGAGGTCAGAAACAAACACATTCTGGTCTTGGAGGTCAGCTAATGCAAAGGTAGGGAGATAGGAAATAGTGTACTGTGAGGAACAGAGAGATGGCCAGCTTATCTGGATTGCAGTGGGTAGTAGGTAGTAGGAAGCCACTGGCATCATTTCACAAAAAGTCACACTTTTAATTTTTCTGTCACTATTCTTACGGTTCACACCACTATTAATCATTCTTTATGTGCCTCTCTTTCTGTCTTTTTATGCAGAACTTAATCCCTCTTAAGCCAATTTCTCTTCTGTAGACCATGGCCATAGGATCATTCCTGTCTTTTCTGTCACTTGTAGTACTTTTTTTTTTTAAAGCAGAATGACTCATCCTGCATATATCCTGACAGTTGGCATCTACATTGACCATATCTGTCATCAAGTTGTAAAGTCAGCAGTATGTTTCCATAAAAATATCACTTTTATTTCCTCAAATTCTTTGCCTTTGAGTTTTTCTTGGCTTCATGGATTTCTACACAAGTGTGTAATAATTTCTTGAAATAGAGTGCACTATCCCACAAAGGAGTATACTTTCTTGACATTTATTGCTACTCTGTTTCTTTTGAACACATTGGGCTCTTCTTTAAAGCATAATAATCAACAGAAAGCTAATAATGTTAAGCTTGTTGCTAGGTTTGGGGGCAGTAAGGAGCTTGTTTTCATGTGAGTTATCAGTAGCCCAGAATCTGTGCATTATGGAATTAGATAGTAGAGGAGAATTACTTGACGTTAAAACAAAAAGCAATCCATTCATGGTAGAATGCTAATACAAATGCAAAAATGAAAGGCATGTCAAAACAAAAAAGACTAGGTTGCTGTTTTGTGAACGCCTACATTCAACAAATATTTAGAAGCAGAGCCAGAACTAAGAATCCTGGCACCTGGAGAAGAGGTATTGGGACCATCTCCAAGAAAGTCTAGGTGATGTCCCTGTGAACTTTGATGGGGAAGGTATGCAAACCCCCCCGGGAAGACAGTCTTAAAGTAGGCAAAGTTAAGAGGGACAGAGAGAGCAGCCCAGGTTATGCAGTGGATAGAACACTGGGCCAGGAATCAAGAATGCTTGAGTTTTATTCTGGCCTTAGACACATACTAGCTGTGTGAAGCTGAGCAAGGCATTTCACTTTGGTATGCCTCACTTTCTTCAACTATAAAATGATCATCATCACACCTGCTTCCTACGATGGTTGTGAGGATCAAATGAGATAGTATTTGTAAAGCAATTAGTACAGTGCCTGGACAAAGTAAGTGCTTAATAAATGCTTGTTTCCCTGCTTCCTTCCCTCCCCTGACTTCCCTTGGTCAATGGACTTGTTTCCTCACCCTCTCCCAGGGGCCACCTTTCCTTTCAGCCCTCATCAGGGAAGGTATTATTTTTTTTTCAGCCAAAGACAAGGTTTATTAAAGATCCGCCATACTGCCAGACTTTTGAGGAATATAGGAGTCTGCAAGTATTGGCTAGATTCTAGGAATCTGAGCAGTGTCTAGATTGTAAGAATCAGAGTGGAAGATATTATTTTAGGAGCATAAAGTATAAGAATAATGATTACAGGACCACAAAAAGAAGGAAATGAATACCTCCCTTCCCCACCAATACATCCCTGGAGCAAAGCCCCTGGCATCCTGCCCAAGGTATGGCATCAGACGTTTGCCTATGATGTATGTGCAAAGCACCATGCTAGGCACTGATGGCGATACAAAGATAAATAAAACAGGATTCTTGCCCTTATTTTTAGTCTTAAAGAGGAAAGAGGCATGTATACAACCATACTACAAAATAGAAATTGGGTGGATCACACAGGTACAAATACTGTGCCGTGAGGGTTGTGAGAGAAAACAGCTCAAAAATGAGGGGTCAGGGGAAACTTCATAGAAGTTAATTTATGTGTAAAACTTTATTGAGGTGGATGGTAAAAGATTGGCTTGTAGTTGGATGGACAACATATAGACTTCTCATACATACACATATATAGATATATGTCTATATGAAAAATATTGCAAATATTCTGTAAATTGAGGTCAATATTGAGCAGGATGAGGGGATGGCCATTGGGAAATCACCATATTCTTT